GTTAAGAATAATTGTATTTCAATAGTCAGATTTCAAATTGTTTACCTGCATATTAGTTGTTGCTAGATAGGACAAACGTTAGGGTTTGTTCTACCTAACAATTAACGAGTATAATATCATCCTCACATATTTATGATGCACGACTAATAAATCATAAAGCCCTCCATATGGTCAATTGACCTACATATGGTTATGATTTAAATGACGATAACAATAACAGCTCACGAAGAGGTGTATATTAAATAGACACAGCACTGTGTTATCAACCCTTCATCATCAGTAAAAACGTGCACAATAGAACATGCATAGCTTATGAAAATAGGTATGTCTTCTTATTTCCTTAATTTCGAACCCATTAAAACGCATCATTTGTATCAAAAATGCTGTAAGTATGCGTCACCAGGGAAAACAAGTATAAAGGGGTGTTTTTATAGTTTGGACGCGGTCCGCGCGGTGCCGCGCTAATAAGGGGTTTAAAAACATCAATTTTTAAATCCTGCTGTCCGCGTTTAGGGGTATTTTTCTAGACCTCGACTCCGAATTAAAACCTGGTCGGGAAGCGGATTGTTTATAACTTTCGGTTATGTCAGCTTGCTAATAGGGACTTTTAGATTTGCACGACGAGATCGTGGACTACTAGGTGTGACATCCTTTTAAGGCAATGTGACTTCCTTTTAAGGCACTGGTAGTGCCCGGCAGTGCCTTAAAAGTACGTCATATTGCCTTAAAAGGATGTCACGCGTTGCAGTCCACGTTCTCGTCGTGTAAATCTAAAAGTCCCTAATCTACAAACACATGAAGAAGCCCCTATATTTCGCGTACCAGCATGTGTTTGTAGATGAGGGCTTGCTTGTTTACGACCGAACTTATGATAGCTGAATATTAAACCCATTTGGAGGTGTACAGGTTGATGTTATTGCTTCCGTATTGTAATACGTGTTTACATTGTGAATTTTACATCAAAAGCGCAATCTGATTTATTTTATATTGTCAACAAATTATATGGTAATCCCTATCGCAATTCAAAATGCTCAGACTTATTTAGGAGTATTGCTACATGACTGAGACCCCTGGGCATTTATGTATTGCTTTACTATTGTCATGCACTTATTGGACTTCATACCCCTTATAAATCTGATGTTTTCTTATCTTAAGAATAAAATGTGGACTGGTTGAATTAGGACCTTTGTTAAATATCTTTAGATGTAAGCTTTAATATGACACATTCTCATTTAAGATAAATCGGGAAAATCAACTTTGCACAAACTGAAACAAGTACACAACTTGGTAAGGATATGAATAATGAAGTTGTTAACTGTTATTTTGCCCGTACGTTAATTTGGATATACAAAATGGAAAACAAACAAAATATTTCAAAATTTAAATATTGGTAGAATTATCACATCTAGAGGTATTGAATCTTATAAACAGCAGAGTTGGTGAATGTTGTGAATGACTAGTCTTCAGGGCCTCTTTATTTTGTCTGTACGACAAGTTGCCTCACCCTTAACCTTCTAAGTTATTAACAAATCTCTTGGCTTCGTCTTAGGCATGGTTTGAATTCTTGCCAATTCAAGTAACATACGAATTGATGTTCTTATACAATCCACAGTTTAATTAAGACAGGAACACAAAACAGACTTACCCATTTGTACGAAAGAGATATTCCCAAATTATATTTCCAAACGGTTCTTATAGCAATCTCCAACACACACGACTATTTGTTTCAACTTGTCACGGCGCGCGACTCCTACGTAATGCCTTCAGTGTACCAGCAGCGAGTCACACAGTCTTAATCGTTTAAGAGGGACTTTCCGTTCCGATGATAGATAGGCCGAATGGGGTCGTTCACATCTGTCGTAATGGTAGTCCACACGTTATAAGATAAACCGTCTCAAAACGGCATCGGTAAAATGTAACACCGTTGATATCTCTTCAATAGGGACTTTTAGATCTGCGTGGACTGATACGTGAGACGTCCATTAAAGGCAGTGCATTAAAAGGACGTCCATTGTAGCAATCCACGTTGTCATTGTGCAAATCTAAAAGTCCCTATTATGATATTGAGTACTCATGGTATGATTAGAAGTTTCGCGTTGAAAGATGCAATTTGGGTGAATGTCCGCAGATTCATATATAGATTAATTTCGTTTGTATACATAACTTCAAGGCTTTGGTTAGGGTGTTTATAACATATAATTTAGGCTTCTACCAACGTTAACAGCTAGGTGTTTGTCTTTTTCATGACCAAGGAAGTTTACGAAAAGACGGCTCATTATATGTGATGATGTTCCCAACACCTGTTTTTCGAAAGTAGACTAATATGTGACTATGTACTCGATAAGCCCAATAGGTTTATACATGTGTATCTAGATTCCATTATGCACCTGTTTTATATGGAAATGTTGTTTTATTTTGAGGAAAATAATCTCGATGTTCGGCTAGTATTTTTGGCTCCGCGAACAATCATGTATTACACGTTTGAATGTAAAGTGACACGACCGGAAATAAAATAAATGAACTGCGTTTCACATTACTTTATCTTAATACACACAAGTACACAGGCGATCGAGTACGTTTTAGGAACCTTGTAATGCGCCAAGTTCCTTTTTTGTTCTCATTCTAATGGTCTTTATTTTTGACGAGGTTGGTTCTATGCACTCCAGCAAAGCACAGCGAGTCAATGCTAATGCGTATTGACCTTTAGCATTGCACCACGTGTTAATAGGCAGCATTTGAATACATGAATAGTTAAAACACTCACAACACACAAATGAACACAATTATGCCGATGCAGCTGATCGAAAAGTTTGACAGTAGACTCACAATTTGAATGTTTAAATTATTCTTTCTATCATCGGAAAATTCAAAAAATTGTATTTTGCTGCCTATTTAGGTGTCATTAATTGTCACTAAAGTACTGATTGTGAGTGAAATCGGTTGAGTTTTGTACAGTGGTGTTTGAAATGTTGAAAATCAATAGCACAGCTTTTAATACACAGCCAGGATAGTAATGCAGCTATGTGTGGTTCTAGGGGTTAACTTCGCCTGGTGTAAACGTGCCTTTATGAGGGGGTGCTTGGAGAGGTTGTATTCATCGGATGCACAAGAGAGTACAGAGCAGGAAACTTGTGATTACGCGCAAGCGCATACGCTCCTTTCTTAGTTCTCACTTCATCATTCAGGCATTCATTAAAATTGTTCCTCACATTAACTTTTCATTTCCTCTTTATGTGTGTAGGTTTAAAATGCATTCACAAACAATGGTGCCATTTACAACGCAAGATACAGTGCGTTAACAAGCATTTGACCTGACAATGTTACGCTTCCGGTTACAATTCCTTTGTTTCTGGCCCACCTGTATCAGTAGTCCAGAATCTGCACAGTTCTTTATATTTCCCTACACACTTGATTAAAGCCGCCGAAGATGGCGCTATCAACGAATTGCTCACCAGTCCGGCCGGCGCGCGCATATTTTTTTTACACAACTGTTAAGCCATTTTCACGAAAAAGTCATTTCCTAGGCAAAATGCCTTATATATTATATCTTTGTATTTTATGTAATTGAATCAAATGTTGATTCTGTTGATAAAAGTTATGCAATTTTGTTATAGTGTTAGTGAACTGTTGACCCTTTGTGCTGCACGCGATTAAATATAATCTGTTCACTTGGCTTTCCATAGTCAGAAACAATGGCGCTCCTTTTGAGCGAACTATCCTATTTTCTCAAGCCACAAGTTTCGTAAAGTTTCTTAAAGTATGGTTATTATATCATGTTTAAACTGGTTCTTGAAGGTTTAGGATCGAGGTCTACTGCCTGATGATTTCGTGTAAGTTCAATGCTCTTATTTTTATCATAATCAATAGTCTGGACAGAATTCGATACGTTTTGTGTGCAAATGGTCATAAGCGTGATTGAGTAGTTCTGACAGCTACAGCATACACTGTACGGTACACTATGTCTACATAAATTACAGCATGTTTTGTATTCTGGGAAACATCGTCAGATATTTGGAAGTTTAGCTATTATAGTCAAAATTACCTTTGCTAGTTAAAGTTTGTGTTATAGTATTGAATGAATATTCTTATATTGTTGTGTCAGTCAATTAGAGGGCTTTTCTAACAGTTCCGGTTCTAATGATTGAAAGGATTATTTAATTTTGCTGAAACCTGAAGTTATGAGCACAGCTTTTCCATTATCTGTTTCTAGTGGTGATGCCTATATCTATTTGCAATCTATCAAATTATGTTTGCAGTTATAGGAGACAAGCGACAGAGATTCATGGGTTACAATCCGATTACGTCAGATAGATAGCTTGGAAGTGCACAAGTCTGTAAGTTCATTTTGTTGAATAGACATGTAAGGACAGGATATAAGTCTACATAATTTTAGACTGGGAAACTGCCTTTGTAAGAATGTTGTATGATATACAATGCTTTGTTCCTAAGTATGGCAAGCCGTTTGCAGACCTCTAAAATGGTCAGGTTTTGTATAGGTACAGTCATTACTAAATATTGTTGCAGTAATTCTCATTATAACTTGAGCATTATTCCATAAATCTTGAAACTGAGAATCTATTGTTTGTTGTGATTTTAAGGTGCATCTGGTAGAAACTTTGAACATAAAGGGATTCACCTATTAAAGTAAATGTACGTTAGTATTTTATGTACTTACCTGTTTGGATTATGATTGATTCATAAGTCTGAATCTGCCTAGTTGGACTGTTGAGAACATAGTTTGTTCTATTATGATCTTTTACATGTATAATTGATGCGATGTTATCATTCATTGTATTTTACAGTTTTACCACATTCAAGACGTTATGCCGAAGTAAGGCTTGAATAAAGACTAGAGTACAACCTTTCAACTCAATCGTCTTCAAGATTACTTTATTCCGTTGTGAGGTTAGCTACTGGATAGGAGTGTGTGTTAGAGCACCCCGAGGACAGCATAGTAAAAAGACTTAAACGACTTCAACCAGACTACGCAAGGACCCATCATGTCAACGACATCGGAACATCCGCTTCAAGAAAAGGACTCTAGCGAGACGCCTTCACCCTCTACCCAAAGTGCCAATTACGAGACCAAAAGCGTGGCTTCGCGACGGTCTCAATCTAGTAAACATTCTTCTGTTGTCTCAGAGGCACTGCGTGCCCGTGCCAACGCTGAGGCAAGTAAGGTAAGGTTAGAGTTCGCACGTAAAGAAGCCGAACTACAGAAACAAAGGGCTGCTCAGGATGCCGAGCTTTTTGTATTGGGAGCAGAAAGAGATGCTGCTATGGCCGAAGTACAAGTCTCGGTTTTTGAAGAAGGACTTGAAGACTTCGGGGAGTCTGTGAAGAGTGTGGATTTAGTTCTTCCACAAAAGGACTCTAGGGAACGTGTGGAAGAATTTTTGTTATCTTGTGATGCAATTAAGAATGTAGATGGTAATGTTCAAGCAAATATTAACAAAATCTCCCACAAGACACACCCTATTTCCTCCCAACATCCCGAAGAAATGGTAATGGATCAAGAAGGTGAAATGCAAACAGAATGTAATACATCCCCTAATGTTGTTCCTACTTGCTCCCCTCTGCCTCTTGAAATGGAAAATGGTCAAAAGGGATCAAAGGTTGTAGATAATGCCTCTAATGTAGTTCTTACTACTCCTTCACATGTAGAAACTGTAGTTGGAATTTCTGATTTAAGTAACATGTTGCTGAAGAAAGAATTGATAACTAGTGGCTTGAGAAAATTTAATGATCATGCATTTAGTTACAGGTCTTGGAAAGCCTCTCTCAAACAAGTAACCACAGAGCTTAAGTTGAAGCCCTTTCAAGAGATGGATTTGATAATTAGGTGGTTGGGCAAGGAGTCTTCCCAGTTGGTCTCAGCTATCTATGACATACATGTTGATAAGCCAAAGATTGGTCTTGATAGAATGTGGGAACTCTTAGACAGGAAGTATGGGTCCCCAGAGGCAATTGAACAGGATCTTCATCAAAGGATTGAAGACTTTCCCAAACTAACACAAAAGGACTATGAAAAGCTAGAGCAGTATGGTCATTTGCTCTTAGAGATTGAGTATGCCAAAGATAATGGAAATTTCCCAGGGTTGTTGCATTTGGACTCGGCAAGAGGGTTACATGGATTGGTCCAGAAGCTGCCACATAGCCTCCAAGAGAGATGGGTAATGGAGGGCTCTCGGTACAAGGAGAGGAACCATGTGACCTTCCCGCCTTTCAAGGTCTTCAGCGAGTTTGTCCGCTATCAGGCAAAGATTCGGAATGACCCTAGCTTCATAATGCCTCGTGACACAAAGCAACAGGATGTTACAAGAAGAATGGTCAGTGTCAGAGCTACGGATGTAAAGACTGTTAGTTCTACAGCATCAAAGGTCTTTTGCCCCATTCACAAGAAGAATCACTCAATCTTAGAGTGCAAGGCATTTCTTGCGAAAACAGTTCCTGACAAGAAGACTGTCCTCAAACAATACCAACTTTGTTATAGGTGCTGTTTTCCAGGACACGCAGCACGAGAGTGTAAAGCTGAGGTTAAATGCGACTCGTGTGGTAGCCAACGCCACCAAACAATTCTACACTATGAGTATCGCAATGACTCACCAAAGAGTTCGCAGAAAGCTGTAGACACCCCTCCATCCCAAATTACCAATGCATGCTCCAAAGTGCAGGGTACAAGATGCATCGGTAGCAGATCTTGTGCGAAGATTGTTCCTGTCTTCGTCAGGTCAAAGAGGGATCAGAAGGTTGTCAAGACGTACGCCATCATAGATGATCAAAGCAACAAGACCATAGCTACATCGCAACTTTTAGACAAGTTTGATATTGACTATGGTAGGGTAAGTTACACTCTACGCACTTGCAGTGGAGAAGTGTCAGCTCAAGGAAGGTATGCTGATGAATTTGTGGTAGAGGATCTAAATGGCACTGTCTGTTTGAGTTTGCCAACGGTCACTGAGTGTGCTTACATCCCTGATTTCAAAGATGATATTCCAACACCTGAGATAGTTCAAGCATATGATCATCTAAAAGGCATTGAGATTCCAGAGATTGATCATGAATGCACAGCAACTCTTTTGATAGGAAGGGACGTGATGGAAGCACACCATGTCCTAGATCAAAGGATTGGGCCTCCTAACTCGCCGTTCGCACAAAGGCTGAAGCTTGGCTGGGTTATCATTGGTGACGTATGCCTTCAAGGGATTCATCGGAGTGACAAGCACTCGAATAGGATTTCCCTGTTGCGTACTCGGGTGCTCTCTACAGGACGGCCTACATACCTGGAACCCTGTCCAAATGAGTTCCAAATGAAACACTTGTTTGACAATGAGGACGATACCATGAGTCTGGCTATAGAGGAGCAACGGTTTGTAGATCTTATGGTGGAAGAGGCAGGCCTAAAGAATGGAAAATGGACAGCTCCGTTGCCCTTCAAGCAGCCGAGAGATCGTCTGCCTAACAATCGTCAACAAGCTTTCAAAAGAGCGCAGATTCTCAAAGCGAGCATGGAAAAGAATCACCTCAAAAGAGAGCACATGACCACATTCATGGCAAAGGTCTTATCTGAAGGCCACGCGGAGGTGGCTCCCTCTCTGCAAGAAAACGAAGAGTGCTGGTACCTGCCAATGTTTGGGGTGTATCACCCAAGAAAGAAAGACAAAATCAGAGGCGTCTTTGATTCTTCGGCGGAGTTCATGGGACACTCTTTGAACAAGGTTCTGTTGAAAGGTCCAGACCTTACCAACGATTTGGTTGGGGTGTTGATGAGGTTTCGGCAAGGACCGGTTGCAGTCTGCGGGGACATTGAGTCGATGTTCTACTGTTTTTCAGTATCCGAAGAACACAGGAATTTTCTCAGATTCTTCTGGCACGAAGACAATGATTTTGCCAAACCCCTCACGGAGTATCGTATGCTGAAGCATGTGTTTGGCAACACTCCATCTCCAGCTGTAGCGAATTATGGTCTGAGGGACCTAACCAGTGACGCTGAACCAGACGTTAGGGACTTTGTTCACAACAATTTCTATGTGGATGATGGACTCGCTGCATGTGATGACAGCAACACAGCTGTTTCACTCATGGAACGAACACGAGCCAAGCTAAAGGAGAAAGCTGGTATTCGCCTGCACAAAATTGCATCCAACTCTCAAGTAGTACTCGATGCCTTTGAGCCAGAGGAGGTTCAGAAGGATATTAGGAACCTCACGCTGAGTGATGGGGCCCCTACACAAAGGAGTTTGGGTGTTCAGTGGAATTTGAAGGACGACACCTTCATTTTCCAAATCGAGTTAGCGGCAAGACCCTACACAAAACGAGGAGTTCTGTCTATGATCAATGGCGTGTTTGATCCTCTGGGTTTCCTTGCCCCGGTCATGGTACAAGCAAGAGTCCTGTTCAGAGAAATGACTACTCACCAGGTGGATTGGGATGACAAGCTCCCTGAAATGTACAAGTCCGTCTGGGAGTCTTGGACCTCTGGGCTATCTGAGCTGCAATCAGTGTCAGTTCCTCGCAACTACCCCATCTGCCTAGAGAATGGTGTCTTGAATGTCTATTGTGATGCATCCGAAGTCGCGGTTGCTGCCGTCGCATACTTGATAGATGTGGACCAAGAGAAACCCAGTGCGAGTTTTGTCTTTGGAAAGTCGAAGCTAGCTCCAAGATTAGGTCACACCATACCAAGACTGGAGCTCTGCGCTGCAGTCTTAGGAACAGAAATAGCCAGAATTGTGTGTAGAGAGTTGAATATTCAGGCTTCGACTGTGGTTTTTCACTCCGACAGTAGGATTGTTCTTGGGTATTTGAATAACACAGTCAGAAGATTCCATACCTATATAGCGAACCGGGTTCACAAGGTTCTTAGTTTCTCCCAACCCTCACAATGGAGGTATGTGCCTACATCCAATAACCCTGCTGACTTTGGTACCCGTCCGGTTTCAGCTCGGTCTCTGAAAGACTCTCCATGGCTTATTGGTCCGCAGAAGCCAGCTACTCAAGAAGTAGAGGATCCTGTATCGGAATTCCCACTGGTAGATCCCGACCGAGATGAAGAAATAAGACATGATGTGAAAATCCAGGTCACAAAAACCAATTTGGAGTTGCGAAGACTTGTTTCACGGTTTGAAAAGTTCTCAACATGGAACAGCCTAGTTAGAGCTTTCGGTCTACTTGTACACATTGCTTGTTCGTTCAGCTCTAGGAGCGGCAACGGTCGGTGCCATGGCTGGCACGTTTGTGGTGCTACAGACGTAGAGCTCGTACGTCGTGTCAAGACAATGATAGTGAAGGAAGTACAGGAGCAGTTCTTTCACGAAGAATATGAATGTCTCAGAGAGGGTGTGCCTCTACCCTCTAACTCCACTATCCGGGACTTATCACCCATCCTGAATCAAGACGGTTTGATATGCGTTGGTGGGCGCTTGAGGAAGTCCTCGCTTCCAGTGGTGATGAAGCATCCGGTGCTGATACCAGGAAAGAGTCACATTGCCAAACTTCTTGTACTACACTATCACAATAATGGGCATTCTGGCAGACAGTTGACAGAAGGTGCTTTGCGGGACGCGGGCTTTTGGATAACTGGGGGCAAGAGAGTTATATCGTCTGTTATCCATCGTTGTGTGAACTGCCGTAAACTCAGAGGTAAGACCGCGCTCCAACGCATGGCTGATCTTCCCCAGGAGCGTCTGAAGGCTGGACCTCCTTTTTCACAGGTTGGCGTAGACTGTTTCGGGCCTTGGGAAGTGGTCACCAGAAAGACCAGAGGAGGTGCTGCTCAAAGCAAGAGGTGGGGAATGATATTCTCCTGTCTCACTTCTAGGGCTATTCATATCGAAGTTCTTGAGGAAATGAGCACTTCGTCATGCATCAACGCACTTCGACGATTTATGGCTGTACGAGGCAAGGTTGAGACTTTTTGGTCCGATAGAGGATCAAACTTTGTGGGAGTGTTGAACGACAAGGTGTTTCATACTTATCTGGAGAGGAACGACACCGAATGGAAGCTAAATCCTCCCCATGCCCCTCACATGGGAGGAGTCTGGGAGAGAATGATTGGTTTGTTCAAGGGAATTCTTAATGGTATCTTACTCGAGGCAAAACAGAGGGACCTTACACACGAGACTTTGGCCACCTTCATGATGGAAGCTATGGCTATTGTCAATGCTCGACCTCTCGTCCCATTGAGCTCTGATCCAGAAGACACTTCCTTCCTCTCACCATCTATGCTTTTGACTCAGAAGCATGGGAGCATAGAAGAGGTACTTGTCGAAGATTGCACCCGTAACATGTACAAGGCTCAATGGAAAAGAGTGCAAATTCTAGCCGACCGGTTTTGGAAACAGTGGAGACTGCGCTACCTGCAAAGTCTTCAGCAGAGGCGCAAATGGATAAGCACGGAAAGGAATGTCAAGAAAGGTGACATAGTGTTGTTGAGAGACAAGGAGGTCAAAAGAAACCTTTGGCCTTTGGGCATCATTGAGAGTGTTAGTCCTGGAGATGATGGTTTGGTTCGTCAAGTGCAAGTTCGTCTGCCCTCGACTGGAAAAACCTTTTGCAGACCGATTCATGAGTTGATTTTGTTGGTCGAGGCGGAATAGATACCTGTTCTCACTCCAATCTTGGCATGCTTGGACTTAAGTTATTTGTGGAAAATCTTGTACAATTTTACAGTTTATGGGCGGTGATATTTTAGCAATTATTGCTCTGTCAGTTTTAACGTCTATTGGACGTTGGGGGGAGTGTGCTGCACGCGATTAAATATAATCTGTTCACTTGGCTTTCCATAGTCAGAAACAATGGCGCTCCTTTTGAGCGAACTATCCTATTTTCTCAAGCCACAAGTTTCGTAAAGTTTCTTAAAGTATGGTTATTATATCATGTTTAAACTGGTTCTTGAAGGTTTAGGATCGAGGTCTACTGCCTGATGATTTCGTGTAAGTTCAATGCTCTTATTTTTATCATAATCAATAGTCTGGACAGAATTCGATACGTTTTGTGTGCAAATGGTCATAAGCGTGATTGAGTAGTTCTGACAGCTACAGCATACACTGTACGGTACACTATGTCTACATAAATTACAGCATGTTTTGTATTCTGGGAAACATCGTCAGATATTTGGAAGTTTAGCTATTATAGTCAAAATTACCTTTGCTAGTTAAAGTTTGTGTTATAGTATTGAATGAATATTCTTATATTGTTGTGTCAGTCAATTAGAGGGCTTTTCTAACAGTTCCGGTTCTAATGATTGAAAGGATTATTTAATTTTGCTGAAACCTGAAGTTATGAGCACAGCTTTTCCATTATCTGTTTCTAGTGGTGATGCCTATATCTATTTGCAATCTATCAAATTATGTTTGCAGTTATAGGAGACAAGCGACAGAGATTCATGGGTTACAATCCGATTACGTCAGATAGATAGCTTGGAAGTGCACAAGTCTGTAAGTTCATTTTGTTGAATAGACATGTAAGGACAGGATATAAGTCTACATAATTTTAGACTGGGAAACTGCCTTTGTAAGAATGTTGTATGATATACAATGCTTTGTTCCTAAGTATGGCAAGCCGTTTGCAGACCTCTAAAATGGTCAGGTTTTGTATAGGTACAGTCATTACTAAATATTGTTGCAGTAATTCTCATTATAACTTGAGCATTATTCCATAAATCTTGAAACTGAGAATCTATTGTTTGTTGTGATTTTAAGGTGCATCTGGTAGAAACTTTGAACATAAAGGGATTCACCTATTAAAGTAAATGTACGTTAGTATTTTATGTACTTACCTGTTTGGATTATGATTGATTCATAAGTCTGAATCTGCCTAGTTGGACTGTTGAGAACATAGTTTGTTCTATTATGATCTTTTACATGTATAATTGATGCGATGTTATCATTCATTGTATTTTACAGTTTTACCACATTCAAGACGTTATGCCGAAGTAAGGCTTGAATAAAGACTAGAGTACAACCTTTCAACTCAATCGTCTTCAAGATTACTTTATTCCGTTGTGAGGTTAGCTACTGGATAGGAGTGTGTGTTAGAGCACCCCGAGGACAGCATAGGGTTAACATTTTTTAATCGGCCAGAAAATTTCTCAACGACTCAGCCAGCTATAGCCTATAATCTAGGCGGAGTGCCGAGATTGTTTCTTTGCTGCTAGACTAACCTTAAGCAGAACGTCTGATACGGCGAGACTACGAACCGTGAGTCGCGAAGCGGCTCACCGCCTATAATCACTGGTCTAGCTTTAGTCGTTGTTTTTTATATTATCGACCATGAATCCGTGGCAGTTTTTCGTACTTAGGGTTTTTTTTTTTTAAATTTTTGTGCTCCCGAAAATTTGAAAAACGCGCCGGCCAAAAATTCGCTCAGGGGGGGGGTAGTGAGCACATTTTTTTTTTTTTTGATCCTCAAAAAAAATTTCAATTTGCACCCCCCCCCCCCTTGAGCGCCAGGGGGGGGGGGGGGGGCCCAACCCCCCAAAAAGGTAAAAATGACGTGATTTTACATGATTTTTTTCTCAAGGGGGGGGGGGGGCCCGGGCCCCCCGGGCCCCCCCCCCCCCTGGATCCGCCACTGGATTATAGGCTAAGCCAGCTGCTGAATACGGGGGTGCGGTGGGGTAAGAGCACATTTTTTTTTTGTGTCCCAAAATTTAAAAATTTGGCCGATCGATATTATATTTCGTTGGGGGGGGGGGGGGGGGGTAAGGTCCACAAATTTTATTTTATTTTATTTTTTAAACAAAAATTGAAGGTGGGGGGGGGGATTCCTCTAAAACACACACATACAAAAGTTGAAAGGGGAGTGGTTCAATTTAGTATTTATGACAGTTTTTCATTTCGTTTTTGAAAATAACAATTGTTATATATATTTGCTTATTTATGATTCATTGTCAGAAACATACATAGATTGTTATCGAAATACTGTGTACTTACATGAATGCTGAAGAAAAGAAAAGAAAATCAAATACCTCCAAATCTTTCAAAATATGTTTTATTATCTCCTACGCTCTTTATATGCATTATAATAATATCATCACATCTCTTTTAATTGAAAAATATAACGTGTCTTAGAGAGCGAATCGGGAAGAGTAATCAGTACATGTATTTAGATTGTCGATTCTTTTGAAAGCTACAATTTAAAAAACAGTGCTGGGTTGCTCGTTCTGCTCTCGAAATCATTTTTGAGTGGCAATCAATGTTTTAGGAGTCATGGAATACTTCCTTGTGGAAGTGGATTTCCACTTTAACATAGTGAAATCCACTCTTATGGAGTGAAAACATTTCTCTACTTGTGAAACATTTTGAAGAATGAATTCGGTATTGGAATTGGATGGATTAGTTGTGACATATCACAATCATAACAAAAGTATATGATTAAATTCAGTAAATAACCTTTGTGACCTTTACCTACTTAACGACTGTGAGACTGTCTTCATATATGCTGATACATACTATCCCCAAGTTTGAGGTTGATATCTAATAAAGGTTCTTAAGATCACGATAACCAGGATGAAACCTGCAATTTCAGAAATTAATCAGAGGCTATGCAGTAGGCTTGCGGTTGCACCATGTGAGAGAGGGGAGGATTTGGGAGTCCTGATCTGAAAAGGACTGTCAGTTTTATTAGAGACTGTTGAAATTTCTCTTAAATTTATATATTGAAGCACTGGCAATCATATTAACTATAAGCATTGAAGCCAACGTCACAAAGTAAAAATATAATATAAGCATCATATGTTGGAACTTAGAAAACAACAAATATGTACACAGAGAGTTGATAAAACATACAAATTTGAAAACATAATGAATGAAGGCTCTATATATTATGAGTTATTACATTACATTAAATAAGTCTTTTGAATATCAAGTATTTACAGAAAACAAACCAATCATTACACCTTCCTTTGTGATTTCCTCACATGTGTAATGTAAGACATACATATTTTATCATTACTTTGTCAAAAGAGGCAAAGATCTGTTAAAGTGACCAATTCCCTTTCTGGTGTAACTATATACCTGCATAAATTTCCCTTTAATTACATATACTTTTAGTAGGCCTATACCAAAATGTTATCCTAAAGTTCCATATGCCATATACTAATCTGCTGTTAAAAGCAAAGATTTCTTGAGGTAGGCCTACTACTTTTTAACTGTGGTCAAAAGAGATTATCTAAACACACAAATATAAAAAAATCAGCACAATACAGAATAAATATCCATAAAAACTTTACCTCAAATAGATCAAACTGGACTAACTCTTGAGTGGTGTCTCTTAATATTAAAAAGGTGTCACACATATTTGGTAGCAGAGTTGAAATTTACTGCCTAATTTGCATAGTTTCAAGAACCTTTTGCACAAAATACGACCCCTTTTTGCATGAAAACATGACGAGGTACGCTTTATATATATCTTTCCATGGGCTAGTTGAATAAAAAATTTATAAAAACAACTCTTTTTTTTCACATACCGGTAGCTCAATACTTACACATTCATAAGTTTGTAAAAATCATGGAAATATGACAACATTTTTGTTGAAATGTCTAGCTCTTTCAAAAAACATAACCATTCCCACCCCCCCCCCCAAAAAAAAAATACAATATATTTTTTTCAAATTCCCTAAAATTATCCCTTTTTACACAAAGTGTCTAACTATCATCCATAAACAAAGCCACCCCTCCAACTATTATTAAAATCACCCACACCCCTGCTATCCCATCCACTTGGCTATCTTCTGTAAAGTACCATGTTTCATAGTTAAAGTACACAATAACAGTACAAACTCTTTTATCATTGAAAATAATGTGCAATAAACTGCAATATTGCCCTCTTGTGATAACAATTCGGTCAACTTTGTAACAAAATCCTCTAGTACTGTTGGAATAAAAGGTATAGTTTTGCACTGTTGAATACACGAGTCTCCTACATGTCATGTCAGGCATATAAATCTTCTGAATACATATTTATACTTATACAATGATAAGCTTACACTTCATAAAACATTTCTGAAATATAATTTATCTTCTCTTGATTCAGAGAGGCATTAGGTCATGTAACATCACCTATGTGACCCGGCACCACAAAACAACCAAAAAGTCACCAGAAAATACTTTTTTGTTTTGGTACAATTATGAAAGAGGAGATTCTCAGCTTTAAAATGACATATCACTCATTACAGGTGGACTTTCCCAACTCAAATAAAAATAAGAAGAATGTCTAGTCCCATAGAATGTTGCTTTAGAGGAAAGGTGTTTAAAGTCTGTATTCTATTTAAGCACTCTGACCAGCAAAGTGAGAAAAAGAGGATAAAACTCTAAAGAAATTTCTGTAAAGGGATAGTAGTAGGATTAAACGAGGACTTACGTTCAAAGTTTGATCGTTATTTTATGAATAATTAGAGGGAAGAGTATCACGTATATTCTCGAATGAGAATTATGAAGTAAAATCAGATTGCCCTAAAACTTTATACACTAACTAATCATATCCTGTTCATTATTTAAGCAATCACAGCTTATTCTGTTTAAAAGTTATTGGAGATCAAAATGAGACCAGTAGCAAGGGTCGTAAATAAATCGAAACTACTACAACAAACTCAAAATCAGAAAAACAAAGGTCTACAACATACTGCTATAATACTACTTTTTACACTTCAAAATTTTGAAATTTCATAGGAAAAAGTATACTCTTTCAGGGAATGCTAAAAACTAACATTGGTTGATTCTGACAAAATACACCTGGATTGAGCTTTAACTGAAAACTACACTTTGCGACTTTTTGTTGGTTTTGTGGTGCGCGTCAAACATGTTTGAACGGGCAATTCATTTGAAAGACACGGTATTAAACATAGTTTAGAACATTGTTAGAGATATATCAAATCCCCACAAATAACATAACGGTAGATAATAACAACTGAAACAAAACGGAAGCACAGTAAAAGGCAGTCACATCAAGAAACTACATGTGCATATAAAGACGCTATCACCTGAATTAAAAGCATAGCTTTCTTTTTACTAACTTAATGAAAAGTTAATTATTTTCCTCTATAATACCCAAGTTTTTTACAATTTGATCTCAATATTTGAATTTTTTTCAAGATATGCCTCCACAGCCAAATCATTTCCTACATGATCTACACAACACTTACTGTATGAATAAAAAACAAATACAGTGCATTAATACTGCTTAACTACATAAAGCTTTTTTCAACTTCAATTCAATCTCAAACACTTCAATACAAATACAGGATTGACCTACCGGTACTTCATAACCTTTATACAAAAATATATATTTTCAGTACTATGTACCCTGTGTGATAAAATTCAATTTCTACTCTATTTAGTACAGTAAAAGATGACGATGATGATCCATAACCTACGAACATTTAAAATGAGGTAATTACTTATTCAAATTAAAGGGATGATTCAAAATTAGAATTTTAACATAGAAAATTATCTCAGTTGAACTCAGAGATGAGACAGATAAATTCCCAAAAATGAGATTGATTAAATGGGAGTCCGGGTGTCAAGAGGGCAGTGCCCCCTTACATTGTAAGGTTTAGGGTTAGGGTTAGGGTTAGGGTTAGGGTTAGGGTTAGAAAAAAACAAAAAACAAGACGGACCTGAAATCGACTGAAATATGATCGGCGGAGGAATCTCATCCCTGAGAACTCATCTTTTATCACAGTGTATGTACGTATTGCAAGTATTGAGAGGTAATAATAGTACAGAGCCTGAAACACTAGTAACATTATCAAGTGCTATATGAATGTAACTGTTATTATATACCTCATTTTAAGATTCTTTACTAATCCTGTCTTCTGATTGGTTGAAAATGCAGTCATGTTCTTAACCATGCCCGCTAATTGAAATTCATAGTCATTTTTCCCGGCTCTACCGGTTTATATCCATTTTTCATAGCACTTTTTCCATGGCTGTGAAACGTGACGTCATTTTGCTGCGATCCCCATTTTGGTTTACGTGTTACCGTATAAGTTTCTTTTGTGCGATGACCGATGCGCAATACCGTTAACGGTGTTTGAGTGCAATTCGATTTTGGTCGCTGCATTCAGGCGACGAATCTACCAATCCACGCAGCGCAGACGACCGATCGCCATTTTGTGTACTAGTCTCGATCGCAAAATACTGGGGTTTTTTAACATACAAAACTGTGTTGTAAACATCTACAACAAGTAGACTAGACGCACAGTCTGTGTAAATATGTTGCGAATTTGTGAATTTATAAAGTTACTGTTCATGTTCTACTGTTCTACTGGAGCACAGCTTGTTGGTGATATCATCCTGTACAAAAGTTACTGTTCGTGTAAACGTGTTTGGTATTCCCTGTTCTACTGGAGCACAGCTTGTTGGATTTCATACTGTACACAAGTTATTGTTGGTGTTAATATTCATGACTTCAAAGAGATGGAAACCTAAATGGGTGAGTCAACGTTTTCCTTTTTTTCCGTATATAAAATATATATTGACTGCTTTTAATATTCGAGGCATAGTTGTTTCTATAGGGTCTCGGGAAACTCACAACCTGCTATGACCCCGCGGCGCAAGCGCCTTGGGGTCATAGCAGGTTGTGAGTTTCCCTTGACCCTATAGAAACCACTATGCCTCTCAAAGCAGTCAATATATCCTTATTATTACAATCATTATTATTATTGTCAAAGATGGTCGGGGAAAATTATTTAGTTTTTCCTTTGATTTGGGGAAACATGCATATACAGTGCGTCCCAGAAAAAACGAAACCGAGAAGTATCGATGTTCTATCATAACTTAATCACAACTAAAATTAATGAATGATACATATTTGGAAAGCTTAGAGTCTCCTCTTTTATGTGATGCTACTCACGTGATGCATATTTCACGCATGAGTGATTAAAAGCAATTTGAAGGAAGGAAACCAAAAAGCCATTTGGCGGGCGGTATCTGAATTTCGAAGAAAAATTCACATTTCTAGAAAGTTGAGTTTCTGCCCTTTTAAGTTGCTAACTGTACATGTGCACTTCTTATGCCTACTATATAAATAACACAAAGTTTACACCTAAGCACATAAAAAGCATATAAAAATAATGTTATCATCTTGAATAATTAGGTAGGCTACCCTATTTTCCAACTTTGGAATGTTCCAAATAGTTATCATTCCACTACCTTCTGGACTATCATATTTCAGATATAGGGGTGTATGCATTCATTCCAAGTGGGAGAAACCTTCGTTGTCTAATTCATCTCCTGTGTGCGCATCTGGTTCCAGGTACAGATAGTTATCATCGTTGAAATCTGACATGACCAGATAACCCTGAAATCAAATGCAATCAAATAAAGATAGTGAATCATTATTGAGATCTGACATTACCAGATAACCTTGTACTCAAATGCAATCAAAAATAATTGCGCATGGAACCAAATGCAGTCAAAAAAATATATTGATCAACCTACAAATCAAATAAATAGTTATCTTAATCCAATCAAATGTAATCATCAAAAGAGTTTTCATCCTGCATTCAAATGCAATCAAATGCAATCGAATAAAGATAGTCAATCATTATTAAGCTCTGACATGAAAGGTAATACAAAGTTTTGGGAAATTTTGAAAATTGGATGGATAGTGATTCTTTACAACTTTGATAGATTTGGATGCCCCTGTGGATGTATTATAAGCACTAGAAAATTTAGCCCCTAAAACACTTCTGCTTTCGAGAAAAATTGAATATAGAAATTTACCGGTGCTCCTGGTAAATTTTGATAAATTTCAAATAGCACCTACGGCCGTACAATGGTAGCTGCGACCATGAAAATCTCAGAATATATAGTTGTGATATATAATTTCCAAACAAGAATAACTAATCGGTCGATTTTAGTCAAGAAACATCGTTTTATAGCTTAATTAATATCTTGACCTTGAGAGGGAGCTATACAACATGAAGACTTTATTATTTACAATTTCATAACTTTAGACTCGATTTCAATCGCGACAACGATCACTGAATATTGTCAGATCGCATATGCTTCCAATATGTTCATTTGAACCAATTAATGACCCCATACCAAAACTTTGTATTACCTTTATGCAAATAATTACCGTTGGTGAAGGTGATGGGACAAACTATCACTTCCGAGGCGATCTGGATGTAGCTATCTTTCCAAAGCGAAGCTGAGGAAAGATAGCGTATACATTCTGATCGACGAGGAAGTGATAGTTTGCCATCGCCTGAAACCAAAAGGTGATTATTTGCTTTATATTCCACATCCAAAACAATTTAACTACTGAAAGAAAAGGACGTGTATGCATCTACTTAAAAGACACCTAGGCCCAAATTCTCACCAAAAAAGTTTAAGTTAAAACCAACCCCTTGAGGGTACGGTGCACGCATGTGTTTTGGTTAATTGAGCTCATTGGTATATAATGCGCGCTTAATTATGCCTGTTTTAGTGCGCTTTTGGATAATCTTCAGTGAAAGTAGGATGCACTGTGTAGATAGTACCTCTATCTTCAGTGAAAGTGCGTTGAAAGATAGTAGTACTATCTACACAGTGTAACAAACTTTTTGCTTCTCCCATCAATAATGGGCGAATTATCTTTCATCACGTGATTTACTTTTGACCAATCGTAGAGCAAGATTCTTAGTATGTGGAATATAATACCAGATAACCTTGTACTCAAATGCAATCAAAAATAATTACGCATGGAACCAAAGGCAATCAAATGCAGTCAAATAAATATAGTGTTTTCAACCTTTTTAAAGTCACGGCCCTCTTTCAAGAAATATAAAGTTTCACTTTACTCCAATCCCCAAATCATCACAGAAGATTAATTTTGCATCACTCTCGCACTCATCAAGAGCCAGATACATTTGTCTCTTAACTTTGAGAGAGTGCGAGCAAAAAAAAGAAGAAATTTGTAATGTGGTACATCTTTTATTTTGTTATGTAATCAACACATGAGATAAAATATAAAACAATATATGCCCGCAACTCGTCGCTGAATATACATGGATATAGAAATCATATATTCGTTCACCTAGATATACAAATATAAGGATATTATAGGGCATCTGGTTGCCTAGAATTAAGCTGTTTCTAAATGTTGCAAGTGAGTGAAGAGAACGAGATTGAACAAATTTCCATTCCACGGGGTACTATTTTTATGCGAGCATATAGTGATGTTTCAAGGAATCCACTAACGACTCGCTTTTATATCAATTGAGAGTGCATACTTCAAACTCGCAAAGTCTCTTTACAGACTAAAATTATATAACGAAGCGCATATTTTAAAAATAGAATTAAGACATGGAACTTTTAACATACAGAACAAACTTGGTGTTGAGGGGTGATCAGATGAGTGACATACCTGAGCATCAGCCAACATGTTCTCTAGTCTGACCTTGACCTGGCTGAAGGTCGGTCTTTCTTCAGCTTCATACGCCCAACATTCCTTCATCAGATTATATCTGGTCATAAAAGGCAAAAATAAGTACATTAATAGATAACTATCAACAAGTAAAATTAGCAAAAAATCAAAATGAGTATCATATGTCAAGAGAACATGGCTATAATTCATTCTGTTGCACAAAGCCGACCTGTGAATTAGCACCTAATTTTTTGTGAAAAATTGCTTGAGTAGCAAATGAGTGACCTTGCATGAATAATAATATAGAGTATTTTTAATGCGCCAACTCCACATGAATAATGTGTTTGAGGCGCATGGAGAAGAAAAAACTATAAGTACACAAAAATACACACAAAATGTGAATACACACAACAATGTGAAAGTAAATCTAATCTACTGGAAAGCTGCTTTGAACAAATGAGTTTTGAGGGCATGTTTAAAGCAATCTACACTTGAAATATAACAAATATGTTGTGGCGATTGATTCCATAGGTGAGGTCCAGCGTGTGCAAATGACCGATCCCCCCATGATTTCTTAGTTTTCGGAACAACAAGCAATTGAGAATCGGATGACCTTATTAGCGTCTGGGAGGATTATAAGGCATCAACAAATTAATATTGTACTCTGGGGCAGATCCATGTATACAGTGAAAAAGAAGCGAAGAAAGCAACCAGCGTTTGAATATGCTTACATGTCTTGACTGCAGTGCTCTGGTTTGGGTAACCTGTATCCAGCTGAGATCTCCTTGACGACCTGTTTGGAGGACATACCGGGGTAGGGATGCGATCCTGCGTGAGATGGAGGAAATTAGAAAAAAATACTTAGGGTATAAGAAACATTAATGTCCTACATATACAAATACTACCGTCAAACCTGCTTTAGTGACCACCTGTCTACAAAGACAAAGTCCATTGTTTCTTTTGAAATTGGTTTCTCATCAAAACATGTACTAAAGGAACCTGTCAACAAAGACCACCTATCTACAAAGACCACTTGTTGTGTTTCCATTAGGCGGTCGCTATTCAATTCAACCAAGATATAGACAGCTTTGACTCTACTAGGTAGAGGCACTCCCTTGCTTAATTATCCAGTTCACGGTTGCAGTCTGAGCATGAGCAGATACAGGTCATTGCAGAACAATCTTGAAATACACGGAAACAAAATACTGGATACGTGTTCATGGAAGTTATGTAATCATTATTAATTCATGCAAAAGCAGGGCACTCCGTGATACACAGGTGGGAGTATTCTTTGAAAAGGGGAAACAAAGGCTATTTATATAGCACCTCCATCGCTGTAGGAATGATTTTTTCAAAATGTACAAAGTGGGACCTCTTCATGTTTTGAAGATCTGTGGATATTCCGGGTCATTGCAGTAATGTGCTAACCGTGAACTGGTCTATTCTCAGAATTGGCAATACGGTGGGTGTACCACCTATCATGTGAAATGGACAGGCCAAAATCCACAAAGCCTCATGGGACTTGGATGCATCTACACTTACCTAATGTGACAATCTCCCATATAAGAATAGCGAATGACCAAACATCGCTCTGTGAGGTGTATGTGTTATGAAGCAATGACTCAGGGGACATCCAGCGGACAGGAACACGACCCTATACACAGATAACAAAAGATAAGATAGGATCAGGTAAGATAAGAATAAAGTAACAAAATAATGTTTATATAATAATAACAAGAGATAAGATAAAATATCAAAGAATAGAATAAGAGACAAGACAAGGTAAGGTAAGGTCAGATCAGAAAAGATCAGATAACATCAGATAAGACGAGATCCGATAAGATAAGAACAGATAAGATAAGACAAGATCGGATAAGATATTAAGATAAGATCAGAAAAAATAAATACGAACAGATAAGATAAGATAAGAAAGAATAGATATGATAAAAAAAAAGGATAAGACAAGATATGTTAAGATATAATATGTTAAAATAAGATAAAATAAAGATGAATATGGTATAGGTTTAGATAAGATAAAGATGAAATAATATTTAATCTACTGAGTTTCTCACGGGGCATCATCTCTACTACCGGTATATACAATTATATGAGTTAAGCCTCGGTCACAAATGCTATTACGAACTGCTACGAACGCCATATGAACGATTTTTAGACAATGGAAATTCGGGAAGACAATGGAAAAACGGAGATTCGTACAAAATTATATTAAATGTGACCGTAGCATAACCTTCCTTCTACTTATCAAGCCTTTATCACATCAAATGCAGTAATTGAACTACCTTACAAAGAATACAAAATAAAATGACATACAAGTGCTACTTGATTTTATGGACCTTGTGCAGATTAGCCCTGTGCTAAACAAGTTATCCAATAAAATCTATTAGTAATACTACTTTTTGACCCCACATAGCTTTCATGTAGAATTAATCTTATCCTTCTTTTATGCGGTAGTGATGCGTTCAAGGGACACTTTTTTTTTTACCCTAGCCGGAAAGGCGGTTTACAAAGACGTTTATTTTAAAACACTGTTGCATTCAAGCGATTTCAAGCGATTTCTTGGCGGTCATAAAATAAATGTGTTTAAAAACGCAAACATGAAACGCTGAAAACATGCGTTTTGTATGGTGATTCTGCAGAAGCACGGTCGCTAAAAATCGATTGAACGAACGGAGATCTCAATCATGATTCTATAACGTCATTGACGTGGCCTGCTTCTGGTTTGGCCGACAGTCGAATGTAAAGAAATTCAGAAAGCACGCAGCGAAGTTGACCTATACTTCCTGGGTCAAATTGCACAGTGTGATGAGCAGTGGCTGGGCTTGAAATCAACGAGAATCAGCGTTGATGAAAAATCGCTTGAATGCTCACCCGCAGTAACCATGTTTTTTACGACGTTTTGATTTGTGATTCATGTTTGTGATTCTAGCTTCAAAGAATTGCTTGAACGCACCCTTAGTGCATCATGTATAAACGAGACCTTTAACTGACCTGTGATTTCATCTCGTACGTCTGTCCGTCCTCCAGGTCTCGTGCCAAACCAAAGTCTGACACCTTACACACATAACCCTCGCCAAGCAGAATGTTACGAGCAGCTAGATCACGATGGATACACTACAATAATAAAAAGTAAAATAATCAGGGGGTGTTTCAGAAAGACTAATCAACTTAAGTTGGACTTGAACTATGGCAGGCCATTCATGCCACTGGTTGCTCTCACCATTCGCCTCTCAATTATGATCGTTAGATAATATTTTTTCCTTCTATAATGAATTATCAAAAATAGTAAATTGTACATGTAGATTTGTGACCAGGATTATTTGTACGTCCCTTGAGAAATCAATACCAGGAATGGTTAGAGGAACTAGAGGCATGAACGGCCTGCTATAGTTCAAGTCCAACTTAAGTCGATCTTAGTCTTTGTGAAACACTCCCCTGGTTCTATATCATACTTAATACAAAATACAATCTCTAAGTGCTTTACAGATATTATTACCCTGGTCATCGGATTTATTCCTACCATATGGTCACCTTTAGGGAATACGGCATTGACTAACACAAATGTTTTCATCATCCTACCATACACCTAGGTCCCCTCTCTCCTGGACATGGTGTAACAAAAGTAGAATAATGATAAATTGTGATTTTCAACTATTATTCATTTTGTGTTCCTAATGCATCTTTTTGTGCCACCTCATGTCTCACTAACCTATTTCTAAACTTAACCTTGAACCCTATACCTCATAGTATACATAAAGCTAACATAGATGTTATAACTGGTTTCCTTCAAGGAGATATCAGCCCATATTTTAGAGAAGTTGATTAATTTGTAAACTGGTGCGATTGGCACCACCTAGTTCTTAACGTCAAAAAGACTAAGGAAATGTTATTTTATTTTCGCCATCCCCTCAGCCTCATGACATGTTTGTTGTCCATGATCAAAGCATTGAGCAAAATTCTGAATATAAGTACTTGGGTACTTGGGTAACATAAAGGTATGGTAATGTAACCCACTCCTTTATCTGATTAAATAAAGTCAGGGCAACATTTTCTGAGCATGTGCTGTACCACCACTTGAAGCTTTTGGATAACAAATTGGACAAATATGCCAAAGTTCTTAAAGTCTTCAAGTGACAGTGGGAAACTTCTATGGGAGAAGAAGAAACAAATGAACCATTTTGGGGTCTTTTAAGTCTATTATAATACATGTACATGTATCAGTATGTTATGTAAATGCTTATGATTGCTATGGAGTTCTCTCCCTCAAGGGATTACAAATAGGAGATCAGTGAAGGTGTTAAAAATTAGTTCTAAAATGTTCATGTTTGATTTAATTAGCCTATAATTGTTCTCTTTATTTTGTGTATGTTGTATCCTACTGATATAGTGTTCTTTCTCTACGAAGGTTTTATGTATTTTCATCTTTTGCACTAGTGCGCCTTAGGTACCTGTTTTTTATGTTAAGTGGCCTAGGCACCTTACAAATATTAAATGTTATCATTATATGTATTATCATCCCATTTACGGGAGATGACAAACTTGAATACACTGAACAAAAATAGTAAGTGATTATAATCGCTGAAGACTCACTTGTCTGGAGGCCAGGTACTCCATTCCCCTGGCAATCTGAACACCAAAGGTAAGAAGATCATTGGGTGGTATGTCTTTCTGTTTCTTGACATTCCTATAATCAGCAGTCATAGATTCTCCGGTCCTGATCTGTCTCAAGTAGCCCTGCAGGTTATTATTAGGTAGGTATTCCATGATGATGTACCAGGGATCTACAGAAACAAGACACAAAGGTAGTATATTCATTTCATTTCATTTTTATTTTTTTCATTTCCAACAAAATACAATACAAACTAACGAATACAATGTAAAATGTCTACAAAACATAGTTACATTTGTAATAAACAAATCTTAACAGTAGTTTTATACATTTGAGGAAGCAAAAATTGAATTATAAATTCAATTGCATTAATATTTTGAGGAAAATGTAGAGATCCACTAAAAAGCAGAGCTTGTAAATTTTGGACCCCTCAGATAATAATGAGTGTGAAAAGAGTAAAGAATACATATACAATCAAAGAAGAATAGCGGCCAACAAATACAACATTTATTAAAACACGTAATGACTGGAAACAAGAAGACGTATGAACTTAATGTCTTTCCCATCTGTTGTTTAAAAGTTAGCTACTCACTTTTGTGAAGACAATTTCACCTGTTGAGAAGTTAAAGATAATTCTGAAGTGCCATTTATTAAGCTAGATAAAATGTATTATTACGGCTAAACTGGTCTTATTGTAGGGATATAATACTGTTAAGTGACCCTAACATATGTATAGGGAGGTGTACATCATGTTGTAACTGCAAGGATATGGTGCTATATTAAAGGCCCACTGCACTACTTGTAGCTACTTGCACCCTCTATATAACAAACAATGCCTAATCGGTTACCAATCGGTTATTAATACAAAACAGAATAAGGCACAGCTGTAAAAAAAAAAACCAAGAAAAGGTTTTGCCTGGACAGCTTCCTATCAAATTAGATATAATAAACATAGTAAGAAATCAAGTAACAAGCATGGCTGCTTTTATGGCACTTTAGCATTTTAAAGAATCAATTCCTGCCAGGTACCCATTCACCTTGCCTGAGTCAAGTGCAGTAAATGAAGGTGAATATCTTAACAAGGGACTTAAAGGGCAAGTCCACTCCAAAAATAATTTACTTTCAATAGAAGCAGAAAAATCAGGAAAACCAATCAAAAAAAGTTTCAGCAAAATCAGATAACTAATAAGAAAGTAAGTTATTTTTTTAATTGAACTTGCACTTTAAGTGCTGTTTCTGGGTTTTGAACCCTGAAACTTGTATTTCACAGCCCCAGACCTATCAGCTTGACCACAACAACTCTACTCTGACGAAACAAATGCAATGAATCTTACCAGAATCTGTACAGCATCCAAGGATATTGACAATGTTAGGATGGGGATCAAGATACATGTAGAGGCTTAACTCCTTAGACAGATCACTCTTATCATTCTCGGTTGCAGTTTCTATAAGGAAACAAGAAAAATGAAGTACAGACCTGTGAGCACAATATTTCTTGTTTTCCTTAAACCCTGTTTCTCATTGAAACATGTGTTACAGGAAACCTGCGTGTAAAGACCAACTGCAATTGTCTCTAGAGCATTTGTCGGATCACAATATGATCCTCTGTGGAGATAACTCAATATTATCAGCAGACACATTGTGCAGGCATTAATCAATGAACAATTTAATAATTGCTAGCTTCTTTAACTTTCTGCATGTTTTCTGTCGTTTGACGCACATGCATTTTTTATTTATTGGTTTCTGCATCTTTCTTCTTTTTTTCATCATACATTTTCATGAACATAATATGGTTTGATACAATATAATAAACGAAATTAAACAAATATACTGAATGCATAATTAACATACATTAGATGCAGGAGGGCTACAGAAATAAGCAAAGTAGCTTGATGTGCCCGCAGCCCTCAAATTAAATACAACAATAAACATATAAATAAAAAAGAGTGTGACTTGCAGAGAAGAAAAGGAAAGGAGCGTTGGTAATAATACAATAAATCTCATACATCTGCTGATTGAATGCAGGTTCATTCATGAATGGATAAACGATGCTAGGTCATGGACGATTACACATCATTGTTGAATATACAGTCAATGTACACACGAACATGAATACAGTAAAATTACACACGACAGGATCAATACTTAGACAATAACATAGTTTTAACTGCCTTCTTAAAAGAATACAATGTCCTAAGGTTTGTATTACAATTGTTTTCGCATGAAACAATAGGCACCAGAGGATATTTACAAAGTTAAAAGTAAAGATCAGTTTTGGAAACGCCCCCCTCTCACAAAATGAAATGGAAGCTCTTTTTACCAATCTTGTGAAAGAATCTGTTTTGACTACTATGTGATGATACAAATTTTTGCAGAGAAACCACCTACTAATTGATATATTTGGTAAATTATTATATCTATTTGGACCTGATAGATATCGCGCACGGGTCACGCACGTGTCGCGCACATGTTGCATAGTCCCATATACATCTTTCTGTACGTGTACAGTGCTTGTAACTTTACCAAGACTGGGCCAAATTTCTTATCATTTTGATGATTCCAGAACCTTGCAGTACACACCAATACTTATATGCTAGATGATCAACCTTTTCTGATTGATTCCTCAACGTTTCTTTAAAAGATACTGTAAATACCTTTTAATCTTTTCACAGCTACTATAGTCTTCTCCTCCTTGGTTATAATCCCCACGGCCTCCGCCTTGTAGACATCGGCAAACGATCCGCTTCCAAGCTTGTTAAAGAGCGTCAATCGATTACGAGGAAACTCCATCTTGGTCGCGTCCCTCATCGTGGAGATCCTTAGATTGGGAATGGCAGGCATGAGAGTCTTGGTTGGCGATGGAACGTAATCATGATGTCTCTGTACATGAAAACAATGCATGTGGGACTAAGTGAAATCATCTGGATCATGAGATCTCTTTCCGGTAGGTTATTAATGACATATGTCTATGAATCAAGATGAAAATGAATTGATCCGATTCAAGAACAGTGCAAAATCATGATGTTACATGAACTTTTCTGTTGCTTTTTTTGCCTTTAAGCACTCTAGGCACTAATTGATGGAAGGATTACCTAAATTTGTGCAACACAAATGCATTGCAAATCGCAAAACTACCCATTTCCAGCCTTTATTAGCTTCATAAAAACCCTTTAAACACCAGTGTATTTTAATCTTGCACAGGAAACAGTTACCGATACATAAGCTTGCAGCCTTTGGTATATCCCTTGATATGAAAAGTACACTTGGGTACAGGGAGATTGTTTTGTGTGGTGTATAAGGAATTTATATAACCACAAATAATCAACAGAGGGCAGTGGTTCTTACCCCTCGTTGATTAGCTCCCATTTCCAGACCTGTGAGGCCATCCTTGTCATCGTCTCGCTTCTTACGACAACAGCAGCATGCGATAGCGATGATGATGATGACCACGATGACCACCGCTGCTACCGACCCGGCGATGATTCCAATGGTTGTTTGTGATAGAGCATTATTCATCGGAGGGTTCTGCGTATCTGAAGAGTTTCATGAAAAAAGGTTCACCATTAACATGGCATAACCATATTCCCCTTTCAGTGCTACTAATGCTACTCAAATTTTCATATTGTATCTACATGTAATATACACTCAACAAAAATTAAGTGGACACTATTCATAGTAAATATAAACTTATCTTTCATATATAAACATAAATTAATCTTCTTTAACCCTATCTAGTTGCAGGGGGAATTTAAAGCCCCCCCCCCTACATTTGTCACGATTATTTTTTAATGCCAAAGAATCTAGTGCTGAAATTTGAGGACTTTTTTCTCTAGAGTCTTGTGCATCTTTTGAAATAAATTTTTCGAAAATCTGACCTACCGTTACAAAGTCACGTAACCTTGAGTCTTTGCATGTAAGCCCGAAAATCACTCAAAATAGTTAAATTACAGTTTGAATTTAAATAAAACAACAAAAACAATAAAATATCTAAATTAAAAAAACAGAAATATATAAGAAATTATCAAATCAATAGAAAACATAAGGAATAACCTGGCTCTTCCATTTTTTGTTGTTGTATTATTATCTTAAATGGTCTACTAAAGAATATATGTAGTGAAAACTAATGTTTAGATATGAAGAATATATGATTTAATAGTAAAAGTGTGAATTGTATTACTTTATTTGCATAAATTACAATAAATATGCAAATGAGTGAATTTTTCAACAACAAAAATCTAATCTATACATTTCGCTTGACATGCATGCAAATTTTCACGACAATTGACCGATCAGCGGCCAAGATCATATGGGGGGGGGGGGCCCTTAGAAGCCTCCCCCGTACCATTCATGGATGAGTGAGCACAGCCATTTAACAATAACTGAGTTTTTGAAAGTGTGGTTTTCTCTAATCTATTTATTTATATATATTTTTTTTAAATGCATCGCAGTAAACTACTGCCTGTATTTGACTATAGCTTCCTTTATCTATAAGGCTTACTACAAGCTTGCAACTACTTTGAGGTTTTTTAAAAACATAAATCAGGCCTTTCAACAAGTTTCATCAATCAGGCACATCTGAGCATATGCGATTGGGAGAGGGCCACCAGCCCCCCCCCCCCCCCCTCAAAATGTTGCAAAACTTGATGTGAGCCCTCCAAATGGAGAACTTCTAGGTTTTGTGAACAAAACAAATGGAAGTGTGTTATTTTCTCATTCATTTAGAAAATGTAATTTTTCTCTTTAAATACCATCTATTTTATCTGAATATTGATCAACTAGAAAACTTAAGGATGGAAACTTTTAGAACAAAGAAAAAACAATAACAAAAATAACACAATATCTTAATAGCTAGTAACACAATGGAATTCATGAAAATTTAAATGGAATGTATTGATTACTTTTTTCAGGTAAATTGTTAATAAGTTTAACATCAATATGTAACACAATCATCATTACTTTGTTTAAACAAAAATGTGTACTTATACAAATAATGTGCAGAAATTATTTTGACTAAACTGGTATTTTTACAAGAGACTGACAATTCATTTGTAATTTTATATAATCGTGTATATGTGTGCAAATTATTGGTCACAATCAATCAGGTCTCATTGTGGGCTGAAGGTAGTCTAGATTCTGTCCCCCCCCCCCTTTCCTTAAGTTCCACACAGTGCGTGAAGTCACCACTATTCATGCGATCCCCAAAATACACAAATCAAGAGAAAGAATGAGAGGACTGTCTTTGTTTCAGCATTGAGGGTGTCTGATTTTCTCAGCTGATTTGACTGCAAAACTTGAACAGTCCAGGCAGTGGACTAGGCTGAAGGGTCGTCCCTAATCTTCATGCATCTGAAGAAGCCATGTCTTTTTTGGGGAGTCGGGCTAACTCGGATCAGGGGACAACTCGGCCCAGATACAAAACAGTCAGTTTTTGCATGTTTAGGTTTAGGGTTAGGGTTAGGGTTAGGGTTAGAGTTAGGGTAAGATGACAAAAAATGGCCGTGTTTGCAGCTGGGCCGAGTTGTCCCCTGGTCCGAGTTAGCCCGGATCCCTTTTATGGGTAGAGTAGGAAGGGGTAGTTTAGATAAGGTTGATGAACAGTACAGTGACAATGTAAAAGCATTTCCTCAGTTTCATATCTCATGTGCTGTTTTTTCAAACTAACTCTGAGTAACTAAAATTACTATACTCTAAGACAACTTTGCATGATCTAAGATGGATGCACAATGAATTTTGATGAACTTATTCTTATTTTGAAATAAATGCTTTGTACAAAAAGAAAAATCATTTAATCATCAACAAATCTTCATACAGTAGTCAGCACGAACCTGCCTGATGGTGTAAACGCTCAATTCTAAATTTAAAAGCTTGGATATCTATCTTTGCATTATGAATTTTTTTTCTTCTAAAAACAAGATTTGTTGTTATGCCCAATCACATTTTAGCGCAAAAAAGCCAATAAATGTGTTTCCTCACTGCTATTTCTTTGAGTTTGTTTTTCGGCCATTGCCGCCATTTGATCTGAAAATAATACAAAATATTCTGTCAAAACGTAATTCAATTGCGTTTGGGACATTCCTGTTTGATCTGAAAAACAATGATAACTATCGTTTCAGTGTTGTTCCTCATCCAATGATCTGATTAAAAGTAAAATGTCGCTACTAATAACTAGTTTAATTTTCAAGTTTATTTTCCACATGTCAAGAAAAAGTCATCACAAATAACAGACATAACGACCAGGGCCCTGTTGCATAAACCTTACCCTTGATGATAACTTCACTGTCAATGGCAACTACCATGGTAACAGGGCTAAACAGCCAATCAAAAATCAAGCCTGGTTTCCATGGTTGTTACCATTGATGGCAAAGTTACCATCAATGGTAAGTTTTGTGCAACAGGGCCCAGAGCTCCAGTTTATCAATAGTTTATACTTACTCTCACATTCACGTCCTGTGAAACCACTTGCACAATCACATGTATATGAAGGCATCCCATTCTGTGGTGTACATACCCCACTGTTCAAACATGGACTCGGAATACAGGGCGTTATCACTGCAATGTACAAAACACAATATTAATAATATTTGCATTTCTACAGAACTGTTCTAAAAGCGATGTAGGCCCAAAAAATGAAATAAGCTGAATATTTGTGAAGAAAAAGAGAAATCAGGAACATATATGATCCCTAAAATTCAACTTACAGATGTATTTGTTAATTCTTAGCTATTTCTAAGGTAATCTGATTCTACTTCAGGGCATGTTAGTCTATTAGGTATTCAGATTACATGTCATTTACACCAAGTTTAATTTACATTACATCTTTCTTCAAACTATTGATTGAAAAATAAGATTTATACTTGTATCCACAGCTGTTACATCCTATAACAGCTAGGCCATTTTGTACTTGCTCTTTATGTTTAAAGGGGTCATATATTTGTGGAAGATGTTTGTAAAAAGGGGGTCATAATCGACTCTGCTAATGATCACTTGTTACCCCTTTGAATATGAAGTGAGACCACAGTGAGTTACATTATGTGATGTCATTATGTGATGTGATATGTGATGGTTATTTTACCCGACTGTTAAGAAAGCATAAATGCTTGTAAGTAAGCAACCAGACGGCCGACGGCTTTAGGTCCTCTCCAAGGGTTATGGGGCGGTATTCTGAACCCTGTGTTATCTCTAATATTGTTGTATCTTTGGAGATAAGATAAGTTGGTATTCTGAACACTGTTGTAACTTTTGTTGTATCTTTTGTTGTAACTTTTCTCTCATCTGTTTGGTCGCGCCTGCGTTCAAACTTTTGTGCGCTTGTAATTGTGCTCATTAGTAATAAAATGGCACTTAATCCTCATTTGCATATGTGCACTAGAGATAATATGACAAGATAATTGGTATTCTGAAAATTGTTGTATCTTTTATCTTATCTTATCTTGCATGGTATTTACAACAATATTTACAACAGGTAGGGGATCGTTGTATCTTTCGAGATGATATAATGGCGGCAATATTTCTTGCCCAGAACCAACTTCATGCCAATAGACGAGTTAGAAGACGATTGTGTGTTGACTGGAAACATCACAGACGAGAACTTTCTAAGAAATTACTTGCTAGGATATGACGGTTTTTAGTGCTCTCATCTTAAGCAATATAGTGAAAGCGTGATTTGTCTTCATGATCCACATGCCACAGCGCATATGATGACACGCGTAATAAGCGCTCAAATAACTAATTACGCCCAAGATTATTATGCGCTAGGCGCATCTTCAGATATGGCATAAAGTATTTCTATTGGTTGACCTACTTATCATGCTTATATACAACAGATTTTGATTGGTAGGGTCCATGCAAATGGGCGTGTCAACAGTGGTAAAAGATAAGATAGAGGCGGTCCTTCAAGAGATAACACAGGGATAAAATGATGTTAAGAATACCAACTTACAACAATATTAGCGCTGTGTTATCTCTGGGAGATACAACAAAAGATTAATGCCTTACCAAAGGGCACTACCTAAGCGCATTGTCTTGGTTTCGAACCCAGGTCACCGGATTACGAGACCACTGCTCTACCGACTGAGCTATTGGGCCTACTTACATAGATACTTACTAGTACAATTTTCACCACTGTAGCCGCTGGGACATTCACAGTAATATGAACCAGGAGTAGAAGTAGGGGCAGAGGTGGAAGAAGAAGGTATGGAAACGCAACTTCCTCCATTCCTGCAGGGTCTATCAAAACATGCAGATTCTAGTGTGAAACAACCAGATGAAGAGTATTAGTATAATAAATACATTTACTTTGTTATACAGGTGTAAAATGTTGAGATTAAAGCGATACTGACTGACGAACTTTCTAACCTAGCGTATTGTTAGTTGCACAGCGCCCCCTCATGGTCAACTTGCCAACAGTGCATAATCACATAAATTTGTATCACTGGTATGAAACAAAGGGAGTGGTTTTGTTATTATGAATATGTAGTATCAATAGTAAAGAAGCAAAAAGAGAGGTAAACCACAGGTTATTGATTAAACGAAACCATTCACCAAGACGTACTTCCCTTTCAATATCATGAGATCTTGTATAGGGGTTCTATATGGTATTCAAAATATGAGCTTTAAATAAACCTTCTGTAAAGAGATGAATACCGGTAATGCAATTTCTTCAATAAAGGAAAAATTTCAAATAAATTCAATTAAATGTATTAATTTTGTAAAATATTAAAATATAATGTATAACAAAATTGTGCCTGGAAAACAATGGCTCGCACAATTTTTGTTTTCTGTGCCTTTTTCTGGTCTTTAAATGGTACATAACCTGCCCCCTCCCACACCTTTAACACGGTCATAAATGAAAGGCATTACCACCTGATCAACAAGGCTTAGCGTGAATTATTGAAAGTTGAATGGAACAAGCATCACATACCGGTAAGAAACTTTTGCGCAAGTCGATTTTTACACTCTCACAAACAATGCCTCCTTTACATTCAAGCGTGAACACTTACCACACAAAAAAATGATACTAGATGATTTGGGATAAAACACTCTTTTATAAGATATAGAATAATTTACTGTTTATAGACAATTTTTTTAAAAAATAATTAGCAATTTTCTAGGTGTAAACTTTTTTTTTGACTCACACTGTAGTTCTATCTACCGTATATAAGGAAAGATACATCTAATCAAATCAAGGGGATTTTTCATCATCTATTATGAATCTCAAGAAGTATTGTCACATTTACTTTGCTGATTGATGCTCATGATATGACTAGTCTTCTGTTTACTACACAGATCTTCCTGCACCACAAATACATATCCATTACGATAGATAAAACAAGAAATATTCCTGAAAATATTTTATAAAGGTTAGTAAATACTGAAGGAAAAAAAAGAACATTTTCTAACTAAAAATAAAGTGTTCTAAAGCACGATTAGCCAGCATTATTAGCAGCAACTAGATGTTTTAGCACAAGCACAATGGTTGATCCATGTGGAGACTTAAGTGAAACAAGAAAGAGCTAGATGCATGACAGCAAATCTTCGAGAAATGCAGGCTAGGTTTTAAGAGGCAAACAATTTGTCCTTAGCATATAGTATGTTAAATGGTGGCCCTGTGTATAGAAGACTTTAGAAGCCACTGCATTCATCATGAACAAGAAGGGGTAACATCAGTGAAGTGGCACACCTGAATGTCCCAATCAGCCATATGAAGACAAGCACAGGGTACGCTACAGAGGCAATCAGTACGTCCCTCGCCATGGACTTTTAATGGAGGACCCCTGTCTAGGATATTGTACAAAACTAGCTCGTTGGAAAATTGCTCCGTATTAGTTTCAGACACAAACCAAATTCCTAACTTCAACCCTGGACCCGACACTATACCTATCCCTACCCCTACATATATATAAAACTAATAGAAAACACAATTGCAACCCTTAACATAAAGTTTTGATAAAAATAAAGCCTGGAGCAATTGTCACCAGGAACAAATGTCAGAGTACTGTGCAGGAAACTTAAAGCAATACTGAACTGATAAACTTTCTGCCCCAGTGTCCTGCTTGTTGCACTGCCCCATCTAATAGTCAACTTGCCAACAGTGCTTGAACCAATACCTAATTTCTATTTCGCAGAGGCCCAACAGAGGGACCCCACTGGAAATAAGCTCTCAAGCTTTCGTGGGTTATCCTGTTCAAGCTGACTTATTTTGTATCTGTTATTATTGTATATTGTTGTATGTTGGAAGCTAGTCGAATAAAAATCAATCAATCAATCAACAGCGCTGCTACGGAAGCAACGATTTATGGGACGATACTGTTACAGCTGACTGGAGATGGCGCTTCACGGAATTTTGTGGTAGTGCTTCTTCTACAGTATGGCTTTATAGGGTATCACATAGATTTGTTTCCTTGGGATAAGACAAAGGAGGTGAAAGTATAATTAATGAATCCTTAGTAGCAATAGTACAAAAAGAGAGAAGTAGACCACAGGATATCTATTAAACAGAACCATTGATCAAAAAGTACTTCTCCTTCGATATTATTGTTACCAGTAAGTCTTTTAAAGGGGGTTTGATTTTCAAATCGACCTTTATAATAAAGAACACCTCCCCATCACCATTACTTATATCAGCAGGAATAAATTAGTTTGATATAACTCCCAGTATTAACAGGTGAAGTAGACCAAATAATAGTACTAGTATATACTTTATTGAATATTAAACTTCTTTAGCACAAAGTTAATCTACCACGAGGTCCATATATATGCCAATAACAAATATTACATCTCAGGCAACAATAAGCAAACATTTCACAGGTTTGCTATGATCTTACCAGTTTCACAGAATTCACCAGTGAAATCTTGAGAACACAAGCAGTACGCAGTAGTTCCTGAATCTATACAGGTCCCATCATTCAGACAAACACCTGAACTACACATTCTAATATCTGTTCATTATGAATGAAAGGCAAAAAGATATATGGTTTCTTATTACCATTACCCGGTAGTAGGTATTATCACCATTTATTTGATTTGATATGATTTATTGATTTCTATATCATATTTCAAACATACATATTTTTAAACATACATAATGTCCATCTGTGTGATATAATAAATGTTTCAAAGTACAATACATGATACTAATACTGTATAGAACGTTATCATTATTATCTTTACCATTATTATTATGTTTTATCAGTAGTATTATTAGTATTACTATAGTATAATCTCATTAATAGTAGCTGTTTTTAATTCTTGATTTGTATTATATTTGTAAATTGTATTCTTGTATGTATTTGAATTTTTATATGGGAAATAAAACCAACCAACCAACCAACCAATGTCTATTATTACCAATATTATTATTTCATCAGTAACTCAGCTTGATCTATGCTGGTTCTATCTCATTGGAATACAGAGAGCAAATTACATTCTGTAGTCTTAGGCCTAAAGTACTTTTTGTAAGAGTCTTGCGGTACCAAACTGAGCTGCTTTCTGCAGAAATTAAGTTCTATCTTTGTGGTAACCGCAATTGTCTTCAGATGTTTAAGAAGATTGCTTGTAATCATGTCTAATGCACAAACCACCACGGCTAGGACTACAAATGTCTTGATATTGCACAGCCTTCCAAGTTCTCTTCTCAGGTATTGTAAATCTTTCTCAGTTATCCTAGAATCATCAGGCACAGCTACATCAATTATGATGCATTATTATTATTTGTATTGTCAACATTATCATTATATTTAATACTATCATTATTATTGTTATTATCATTATCGACAAATTATCTACAAATATCCAAGATTCAATAGCTCTGTATCATAAGATACAGAAATGCGAAGTGTATTACACATGCATCATTATAGTTAAAATAACGCCATAAGGTTTTCTCAAAGAGGCATCAGCATGGTTCCTTATACATGTAGGATGTCCTATTCACAGATAAATCATTTTTATTGTGCTTGATATGGTATTTTTAGGAATCTCGCCTATTAAACTCTGCTTGCATTTTGTTTGGACATCTGGTATAGAGTGGTGAAGTGTGAAGTCATCAAAAATGTATTTTGGGAATTTCTCAATTTTTTCTTCATTTTCCGAAAGAGCATAAAAATAATGTCTGAATGTCGAAAACCAATTGAATATGTTAAGTATTGGCTGAGATATGACCATCTGAATAAATAGATTTCCTATAGGAACTCAGTGTTATATTGCTTTGGTTCATAACATTACGAGCAAGACCAATATAACACTGACTTCTTATTGAAGATCTTTTTATTCAGATGGTCATATCTCAGCCCATACTTAACATATTCAATTGGTTTTCATCATTCGGACATTTATTTTGATGCTCTTTTGGAAAATGAAGAAAAAATTGAGGAATTCTAAAAATAGATTTTTATGATGTCACAGCTTCGGTACTCGCCTTACCAATCTCACAGAACTGCCCAGAGAAACCTTCACGACAATTGCAGTACGCAGTAGTTCCCTCTATACAAATCCCACCATTGAGACAGACATCCGATCCACACATGTTATTAATATCTGTTTATTATAAAGGAGAAATCCAATGTTAGATTAATTATACACCTTCTTTGATACAATGCGTCATTTGACCCAACAAAGAGTTTAAATGCACTCTATTACGTTCCATGAAAGTTCATAATTTCATCTTCTCACAAAAGCAACAAAAGGTATTTCCCATAGAACTTTTAAAGTGAACATCAGAAAGGATGCCTAGATAAACACAAGAAGCATATATTGTCAACTACACAGAAGTACGAAATATATGTAATGAAACGTAATGTACAACTCATAAATCTATTAAATCCATGCTCAAAATGCTCAAAAATGATTTAAAGGTTTATAATAATCATTGCAGCATGAGCTAAATCCAGCATTTTGTTTCAGAATCTGAGACAAAGTTACCCAATCCCTTTAATGACAACTGCTCACTACAATGGTGATACATATATCCATTTTAATAGCTCTGTATACAGAAATGCAAAGTGTATTACACGTGCATCCAAGCGCGTAGCCAGGATTTTATCTTAGGGGGGAGGGGGCAATAGTGAGCACGCGATTTCGCTTACAGAGCGCGCTCCCTAGGTGAGTGGGTGCAGGGAGGGCGGGGGGGGGGGGGGGGAGAATTAAATTATTAGAGAAAGAAGACGAATCGTTGTACCATTCTCGACTCTAAATCCTTGTCTGAATTCAGTTCCCCCCCCCTCCTTTGCGAGGCGCGGAAGCTTTGATGTTTCATTAAATTATTAGAGAAAGAAGACGAATCGTTGTACCGTTCTCGACTCTAAATCCTTGTCTGAATTCAGTTTCCCCTGCGCGGAAGCTTTGAGGTTTCATAAATTATTAGAGAAAGAAGACAATTGGTTGTACCGTTCTTGACTTTAAATCCTTACCTGTGTTCGGAAGCTTTGATGTTTCATTAAATTATTACAGAAAGAAGACGATTCGATGTACCCTTCTCGACTCTCAATCCTTTTTCTTCCTACGTCCTCTTCCTTCCTTCTTTCTCTTTTTTTTTTGGGGGGGGGGGGGCCACTGCCCCCACCGCCCCCTCTAGCTATGCGCATGCGTGCATCATTATGGTTAAAATAATGCCGTGGTTTTCTCGAAGAGGCTTCAGCCTGGTTCCTTATAGCATGTCCTATTCACGGATAAATCATTTTTTATTTTGCCTGATATCGTATTTTGAGGAATCTTACTAATTAAACTCTGCTTATTTTTTTTAGACACCCTGTATTGCCTTACCAATCTCACAGAAATCGCCAGAGAAACCTTCACGACAATTGCAGTACGCAGTAGTTCCCTCTATACAAATCCCACCGTTGAGACAGAAATCGGATCCACACATGTTATTAATATCTGTTTTTTATAAAGGAGAAATCCAATGTTAAATTAATTATACACCTTCTTAACAGTGCTTCATATGATCGACCCAACAGAGAATTTAAATGCACTCAATTACGTAACATGAAAGTTCACAATTTCATCTTCTCACAGCAACAAAAGGTATTTCCCATACCGGTAGATCTTTTAAAGTGAATATCAGAAAGGATGCCTAGTTAAACACAACAAGAATATATTGTCAACTACACAGAAGTATGAAATATTTGTAATGAAACGTAATGTACATCTCTTGAATCTATTAAATCCATGCTCAAAACTCAGCTATTTCTAATGAAATTCAGCTCAAGGTTTCACAGGACATCATCAACTACCCAGCAGACATGTTAATAGAAAAGCATAGGGGGTGCATAGAAATTAGCTGTATACACACAAATCTTTGAAGCAAAATTTTGTGTATTGTGTATTTAAAGATACGTACCATGGAATGATATTAAAGTCATGTTATTTTACTGGTTTCTAGAGGTTTCAGTGAGAGCCCTGCATATCCATGTGTTATTATTATGAATACATGAAACTTTTCAGCAAGAAGTACCAAATAGTAATACTGTTGACATAGTTTACAGTTTTACTTCAAGCTAAAGACCAGTTTTGGAAACGCCCCCTTCTCAAAAAATGAAATGGAAGCTTGTATTACCAACCATGTGAAAGAATATTTTTTGACTACTAGTATTATGTGATGATACAAATTTTGCCTGGAAATCGCCTACTAATTGATATATTTGGTAAATTATCATATCTATCTGGACTGGATAGATATCTGACATGTTTGTGTAGTCCCATATACATCTTTTTGTGTACAGTGCTTATAACTTTACCAAGACTGGGCCAAATTTCTTATCATTTTGATGATTCCAGAACCTTGCAGTACACACCAATACTTATATGATAGATGATCAACCTTTTGTGATCAATTCCACTACGTTTTTTTCACAATGCAATCGCATGACCACCCATAGGAAAGTGAAAAGTATGCTGCAGACCTGCCGCAGACTAAAAGTCTGCGGCAAAGAGTATGCCGAAGTATGCGGCAGAAAGAAATTTTGCTGCAGACTTGCCGCATACCAGTATGCCACAGGAACAGTCTGCGGCAGATCTGCGGCAGGATGAAATTTTGCTGCAGACTTGCCGCATACTAGTATGCCACAGGAACAGTCTGCGGCAGATCTGCGGCAGATCTGCGGCAGGATGAAACTTTGCTCCAGACTTGCCGCATACTAGTATGCCACAGGAACAGTCTGCGGCAGATCTGCGGCAGGATGAAATTTTGCTGCAGACTTGCCGCATACTAGTATGCCACAGGAACAGTCTGTGGCAGATCTGCGGCAGGATGAAACTTTGCTCCAGACTTGCCGCATACTAGTATGCCACAGGAACAGTCTGCGGCAGATCTGCGGCAGGGCGAAACTTTGCTCCAGACTTGCCGCATACCAGTACGCCACAGGAACAGTCTGCGGCAGGTCTGCCACAGAAAAGTAGGAAATTATACAGTCTGAAGCAAGGCTATAGGCGGCCATTTTGTAGGACATGCAGTACCATGCAGGCTGAGCCCATGATCTTGTAAATTCCTGTGTTAATTAGCACTGTTAATTGTCTTTTTAGCTTCTGTCAAACCAAACAATTCGCTTCAAGTTCAACTGGTACCATAAGAGGAATTTATTACATAAGAGGAGACTGAGAAATTAACGGACTGTTTCAAACTTTTTTGTTGTGCCATATGTGATCTTATCTTCAGCCCCACTAACTCACTTTTTTGTTGTAACTACCCATGACGAAAATCCAATTGAAACCAATTGAACACCAATTGAATTTTCAATTGGTTTCAATTGGTCTCAATAGGTTTTAACAGGTTTCAAGGGACTTTAATAGGACTTCAGATGGTTTCAATTGGTCCAAATTGTCCCTATTGGACCAATTGGGCCCATTGGCCCCATTGGCCTATGCCCCATTAGACTTTAATGGGACCCCAATTGGCCTGAAGTTGGACTTCAATTGGTCCAATTGAAACCAATTGAAAACCTTTTAAAGTCTAATGGGGCAGATTGGTCCAATTGAAATCCCATTAAAGTCTAATAGGGCCAATTGAAACCAATCATCTCATGCATATTCATTATTACTTTACACGTGTGACAGAAAAATACATTTATCATGATTTGTTGAGCAAATTAAGACAATGCACATCATTTTTGTAATTTCTTTTTTCCTTTTGCCATTATTAACCAATAGATTATTTTGTCTGATCATGTTACAATTACATTCACGTTTTAGCCATAGATATATTGATTACTAACCAAGAAACAATATACATATTTAGTATATATATATGTGTACGAGCCTGTGTCACTTTAAATGTTACTCTTGAATACACTTCAAATGATCTATGTGATGAAGTTAATACAATTGAGAATAGAATATACCTAATTGGTAATATCAATATATATTGGTATTACCTAATTGGTAATATCGATATTGCCAATATCGATTATGAAGTATCAATCAGTTTATCACTGGTTCTTCTACATGCATACTTTATTGCCACGTACTGGATATGAAAGAGTATGCGGCAGGTCTGCAGCAGGTCTATATGAGATATGAATATTCATGATGAAGAGTCTGCGGCAGGTCTGCAGCAGACTCTTCATCATACTGAAAGAGTATGCGGCAGGTCTGCAGCAAGTCTGCGGCAGACCTGCCGCAGACTCTTCATCATACTGAAAGAGTATGCGGCAAGTCTGCGGCAAGTCTGCGGCAGACCTGCCGCAGACTCTTCATCATACTGAAAGAGTATGCGGCAAGTCTGCGGCAAGTCTGCGGCAGACCTGCCGCAGACTCTTCATCATACTGAAAGAGTATGCGGCAAGTCTGCGGCAAGTCTGCGGCAGACCTGCCGCAGACTCTTCATCATACTGAAAGAGTATGCGGCAAGTCTGCGGCAGACCTGCTGCAGACTCTTCATCATACTGAAAGAGTATGCGGCAAGTCTGCGGCAAGTCTGCGGCAAAACTAATTTGCATGTGAAAAAGATGACTGTCTGCGGCAGGCTCATTTCTTTCCTATGGGCATAGGCCTTTAAAGTAATATTAAGTTGCTCTGAAGGAAGGAAGAAATATCAGAGAAGTTTGAAGAAATCAGACAAATAATGAGAAAATTATCAATATTTGAAAGTTTTTATCACAATAAAATATTGAATTTTGAATGTGCCAAATCGTTATGTTACTGTGAAGAAGTGGCAGACAACTTTCCCTTTGTAGGAACATACAAACAGATTAGAATATCAAGTATTCCAAATGTATCTCTTAGAATGACTTTCTTCGTTTTGGAGCAAGTACATGTATAACAATAGGCCTTCCATACTATCTGTCTGTCGAAAAAGGCAATTAGGACAAACTGAATAACAGGTGAAATAAAAATTGTTACTTTTTCAGGTACATTTTAACTCAAAACAATCTCTGACATGCCAAAAGAAAAGGTTACCAAAATATGGATACTTTTTTTCATAAAGAAATCTCTGACAAGCATAAACAAAAAAAGGGGGGGGGGTCAATACATATGTTCAGAATGCAAAATTCATAATGGCTAGCGTTTGTCAAGTAAAGGTTCTTTTTTAATACAAATGTACCTGTATGAAGGTTTAGCTATCATTAAGCCCCATCAAGAAAGAATATGATTTTCTTGCTCAAAACAGATGATATAAACCATGCAAGCAGAATATGAATATGGTGAAATCTCCGTGGCATGAAATAATGATTTGCAACAATTATGCTGTTAGCGTTCCGGGCATTTCTTTTTGAGCGTCTACATTTTGCAAAGCATCCTACATTTGTAAATCTCCTCTACTTACCATCTTCACAGAACTCTCCAGTGTAGAATTCAGTGCATTGACATATCCCATTAGCACAGGTACCTCCATTGAAACAGCCACCAGTGCTACAGGTTGTTATGGGCGCTGGAAGGTGATCAAAATATGTCAAAAACATTTTAATTGATTTAAATCACATCCTCATATGATATGAGAAATATTTGGTAGGATAACTGAATAATGATGATGATGATGGTTACAATGTGTGTAGCGCCCACTGTTGTTATTGCGTTGAGTTAATGAAAGAATAAAGCCTCTCCACACCTGGTACAGAATGAGTGAACCCTGTATATTTATGCCTCCATAAAGTAGGTAAACATAGAGAGTTTAGAGTGGACAGGAGAGAAAAGAAACAATGATGAATTGATGATGATGATGATGATGATGATTATCATAATTATCATTATCATTTCTGTTATTATTAGTATTACCATTATTATTAATATACTATAATTATCATTATAATGCTAATTATTATTCTAATCATACAACTACTTCTACTACAACTACTACTACTACTACTACAGTTTCTACTTCTATTTCTACTACTACTGCTACTACTACTACTACTGTTTCTACTTCTATTTCTACTACTATTTCTACCTCTACTTCTTCTACTGCTACTACTTAAATAACAACAACCCATTCAAGAGATGCTCCAACTTTAACCCATCTCTATCTCTCAATTCTTTGCTGTCACTAAAACTAACCTGACATCAGGTTAGGCTTTACCATTAATTATTACACAGCAAACACAAATCACAGTGCAGCTAGGCGAATGATTTACAAGAGGAATTAGGTTAATAGCATTCTATTTACTACTGGAGGTGAATAGCATGGTTATGTCCGGCAATTACACCTAGTTTCCATGGTAACCGGATAATGGAGGCCATCAATGAGAAGCAATATTGCAGTAATTACCATTTAGTTTAATTGCATGCCCTAGCAAGTGACAAAACACCATGAAAACATTGTAAGCTGAAATGTCATTACACCATGGGGAATTGGTCATTTGCATTCATTATTCATTATTCATTTATTTATTTATTTCCTCTCAGAGGGTGGATGGCCCTTTCAGCACAGCTGATTTTCAGAGGGATGCACAAACATAAAAATAACAATAAATATACAGTGAATTATACAATAATATGTAAAACGTTGCAAATGCAAGAAGTAAGGCAATGAATATGTATATGCAGTTACAACAACTAAACTTCTAACAAATTTATGTACAAAACACACAAACAATAAGACAGTTAATTGCAGATATTCAACTAGAACGACAACAAGCATACAAGTAAAACTGTAAAACCGATAAAATAACACAAACAAAACATTAAGGTAAACATAAGCGAAAAACAAGAAGAAAATAACAAAACAAGACAGGAATAAAAGGATGGGTATAATATTTATTATGTTTAAAATTAAAAAAAGAACTAAAAAAAAACAAAAACAATTATAACATAACTAACATAATATTCATTATATTGTAAGTTTAGATTGCTTTAAACATGCCCTCAAAAGTGATTTGTTCAAAGCGGCTTTCCAGTAGATTTAGATTTACTTTCACATTGCTGTTGTTCATTTTTTTTTTGTATTTGTGTGTACTTATAGTTTTTCTTCTCCATGCGCCTCAAACACATTAGTCATGTGGAGTTGGCGCATTGCAAATACTCTATATTATTATTATTATAAAAAGAAATAATCCATTTCTAAATCCTTTAACATTATCCAGTTCCATTAATTAACCCACACAATTGAGTAGAGGAGATCAATAGACAACAAATTCGCATATTTATGCACTCTTAATATCATAATTTCTTGCCAAAATTGTTACAGCATTATCTCAAACAAAATTATCATCCATTTTACTTGCCAAGACATTCATATATTTATCCTTAATCAAAAATATCAACTTTCATGTGATATCATCAATCACAGAATTCCAAAAGTGAATTCAGTTTCTATTTGATTCTTTTTGGTTTGTTTTGTGTTTGTGATGTTTGATTTATTTTGTACTTTCCCATATCGGGCTGTCTGGTATTAGTTATGCGTGCCTTCTTGATCATGATTTTGTTGCCATATGAAAGCACAGGAATTGAGCTTTCCATTTATAGAAATTACATTAGAAATAATTTGAGATTATCGAGATATTAAATTTGTGACATTAAACCACTTCAGTCTTACTTGTGCAGTATAACTCATCCTCTCAGTTGACGCAATCATCATTGTCACCATCGCAAACCCAGTATGGATCATAAACACATTTATATTTAGATGCACATTCAAAGCAGGAGCAGTTTGCTGGGGGGGGGGGGGTTGCTGCATGGAATAATGTTGTTGTTTTTTTAATCACATACAATGCCTTTATACAGTTAATGCCAGAATAATCAAGAGTCACTAGTGCATGCATGCAAAAACATGAAGTACATACATGTCCCAATGAATTACTATTGTTTTGGTAGTCAATATATAATTTTGCTGCATTCTATGTTGCAAACTTGAAACCAGGAGTGTTATGACCGTAAACATAAGAGTGTTGAAACACTCAACAAAATGTTGCCATCTTCAACATAAATGTCGCACCATTTAACAGATGAATATTGCAATATTCAACCTAAGAGTACATCTTGCAGCGTTGAAGAAAAAAAAGAGTTCCAACATTAAAAATTAAGCAAGCTACAATCTTTTACATAATATGAGTGAAGCAACATTCAACCTAAGAATGTTGCCATCTGCTACTGAAAAGTGTTGTAATATTCAACCTAAGTAATGTTGCCATCTTTTACATAAGATTGTTGCAGCATCAAAACAAGAGAGTTGCAACGTTCAAAATAAGTGAGCTGTGACCTTCTACATAGTAGTGTTGCCACATTGAGCAAAAGAGTGATGCAACATTCAAAGTTCATGATACTATTGTGACATTAAACAACTTACTTGTGCAGTATAATTCATCTTCTCCGTTATTACAATCATTGTCTCCATCGCAAACCCAGCTTGGATCATTAACACATTCATATTCAGATGCACATTCAAAGCAGGAGGAGTTATAGTTAGCTGGAGGGGGGGGGGGTTAATAAGATGAAAACAAAAGATCACATAAAACACATTAATACAGTTAATGCCAGTTTAAAGCCCCTCTAAAGTGTTGGGAGCCCCAAAAATTTGATGGCAAATTTTCACTTAAATTGTATCATAATGTGAAAGAGGATGTCATTTAAGACACATTTCTGAGAGGATTTTCAAAACAAATAAATTTGAAGTCAAATATTGATAAAAAAAAATACAACATTTGTTGTACACGGAAAACCTAAATTAAGTATTCTTTAAATATTTATCTGTAAACTTGGGTTTCCTTTTTTCAGGGACACCCTGTACTTCTTGATGAGAAAACTTAAGTTTTTTGTGTCACATGATGTCATGAAAAACCTGGTATTAATACAGTAATAAGTTCCATTTTAGTAGCACTTTTTAATCTAATTTCTTTTTTAAATGTTTGATAATTGTAATAGATAGATATGATTTAACTTGATACCATATTCAGCCCAAGTAATGTTGCCATCTTTAAACATAAGAGTGTTGTAGCATCAAAACAAGAGAGTTGCAACGTTCAAAATAAGTGAGCTGTGACCTTCTACATGATAGTCTTGCCACATTGAGCAAAAGAGTGATGCAACATTCAATGTTCATGATACTATTGTGACATTAAACAACTTACTTGTGCAGTATAATTCATCTTCTCCGTTATTACAATCTTTGTCTCCATCGCAAACCCATTCATCGATAACACAATCATATTCAGATGCACATTCAAAGCAGGAGGAGTTAGCTGGAGGAGGGGGGGGGGTTAAATAACATGAAAACAAAAGATCACATACAACACATTTATACAGTTAATGCCAGTTTAAAGCCCCTCTAAAGTGTTGGGAGCCCCAAAAATTTGATGGCAAAATTTCACTTAAATTATATCATTATGTAAAAGAGGATGTCATTTAAGACACATTTCTGCAAGGATTTTCAAAACAAATAAATTCGAAATCGAATATTGATGAAAAATACAACATATGTTGTACGCGGAAAACCCAAAATAAGTATTCTTTTTATATTTATCTGTAAAATTGGGTTTCTTTTTTTCAGGGACACCCTGTACTACTAAATGAGAACACTACAGTTTTTTGTGTGTCACATGATGTCATGAAAAACCTGGTATTAACACAGTAATAAGATCCATTTTAGTAGCACTATTTTATCAAATTTGTTATTAAATGTTTGATCATTGTAATAGATATGATTTAACATGATACCAAATTACCCAGAAGTTTTACTTTGATTTAGATATTCCCATACATGTATTTTTAACTTTGATATTGTCATTAAGATTGATTATGGATCCAATGTCTGGAATTATCAACAAACAAATGAATAGTATGACGGTGAGACAATTTAAATGACTATAAACACAACGTCTCCTTGAAGTAAAGAAACACAGTCATAGAGTATGTTTCCTACCCTTCCCTCCATTCCTGCCCCTAATGTTATAGGTTTATGTGTAAGATTTATATGATATTTCTCTTAATTCTGATCTTTGAATTTTCTGTTAAAAGATACTATGCAGGTCTGATACTATGTCCCTTTTGCAGCCAACGTCAAATTCTATAGAGCTTTGCATGAATTATGAATATGTCATGTATGTCCTCTCTAATATTCAAATTATGCAAGGAAACCCATTTACTTGCTAGATTTCACTGTCAGACACTATTAAGTGACTGACTGGCTTTTTTTCTTCTTTGGTAATAACATCCATAAAATGAGCCATAAAGGGTACATGAGCATTTGTCTCCATCAATAACCCACTTCTTTTATGGCCAACATTAAACTGATTGAATCTTTGCGCAGCATAAAACGTACGACCATTCGGTACAACGGTCTGAAAATCAGACTTTTACTTACTGGCTCTATAGCTCTTAAGTCGATTTGACAACTAATAGTCGTTATCTTCCCACTTACAGACATTTTCGAGCACCCCCCCCCCCTTTTTTTTAGGGAAGTTCTAAATAAGTATCTTTCAAATGCCGCTGGAATTTAACCTTTCATTTTTGGGGCCTGCAAATGGGACATAGTACCTTTAAAGCATCCATGTTAAACTCTTTGACTAATATATTTTTTCATTCCAATAGAGGCTTTAACACAGGAGCCAATACTTTGTGCCTTCCATGATCCACCCACCATTATTTTTTGTTCTAATGATTTGTCAATCATTTTCGTAATCTGCTTTTCAAATGGAAAATAAATTACACGATAAGTACACTTTAATATGTAGAAGTTTTTACTTCTTTACTTACATGTAATCCTTATTTTCAATAAATATGAATCTTAGGTATAATCAGAGGTGATAGTAAGCACTTACAAAAAAGAGATTTTTTTTTCCGTCAACCACCCACCACTGAGTAAAAAAAAAAATTAACATATGATATGACTAATCCTCTTCAAATTGTCAAACAAACAACACCCTATATGTATCAGCTCTTGAGCTAATACATAATAAACCATCTCAATTCAATTCACTACAAAAATACTTTCAAGAATCATTTTTATATAGAGTATTCTAATGAATTCTCGAGAGCATTTCACAGTTTCAACAGCAATAAATAGCAGAAATTATATTATATAAATAATTGAAAATTTGAATAAAATAATTAGCAATACATAACAGTAATGCATTCTAGTTTTTATTCATCATAACATTTTCCATACCTCGATTCTTCTGAATGTTAATATTTTGTATTGAATGTAGCTATTGTTTAAAGCCCCACTGTACTACTTGTAGCTACTTGCTCCATATATATATATATATATAGAAAACAATGCCTAAGCAGTGCCCGTTGGTCCCCCATGATTCTCTTTTTCTACTGTTAATTGAGAGCCGAGTTGATGAGATAGCCACCTGTCAGTGACCTCGCTGGGTGGTCTAATCCCTCCTGGCCAAACTAGAACAGACAGGCTTATAACAGTTATGATATTGATGTACTCATGTCTTTAGATACAGGACCAAGATACTGTCCTGCAACAGATATATATCTTGAACAAATAAATTTGAATCATTGAATGAATAAATCAATGAATATGAACAAATGAAATAATGAATAATGAATTAATAAATAATTTAATAAAGAAATAATGACATAAAGATGAATAAATGAATAAATAAAAAAATGAATGCAAAAATAATGAATTAAAAATTAAATATTGACAGATAGATGAATAAATGAACAAATAAATGAATAATGAATTAGTAAATAAATGAATAAATATTGACAGAAAGATGAATAAGTAAAAAAACAAAATAAAAAATAAATGAACAAATAAATAAATTGACCACTTAATTAAAAACATGAATAAAGAAATAAGAAAATACATTGAATGATCAACAAATAGATCAACAAATAAAAGACGTTTAACAGAATTGTATAATGTAATTGAATGACCAGAATGAGATATAATAGCGGTATAAGCTCATGATAATCATTCTAATTCATCATTCCTACCTTTCATTTCATTTCGTTTATTTCCATTTCCAACAAAATAAATAAAGTACATGGGATTGCATTGTACATAGTAAAACAATGAAGAAATATTGACATAAAGATGAATAAATGAATAAATAAATAAATAAATGAATGAATAAATGAATACCTTCACATGTAGGTCCTTCCCACATCGCTGCACAATCACAGGTCACAGAGCCCTCAGAAGGGATACAGGTCCCACCATTTTGACAGGGGCTAGAATCACATGTCGTTGGAACTGGATTACATAACAAAACAAACAGCCAAGTTAAAATGTGTACGAGAGTCGGTAGCGATTTTGAAAGGGGGTGTGCAGGGACTCGATCTCTCAAACAAATTCTTTAATCCCCCCCCCCCATCCATCTGGAGAGTGGGTAGTTTCTTTGCAAGCCACATTACAACTTCTTTCATTCAATGTTACATTTAATGTGATACATTTGTTGTGCAAGGCCATCTTTTTTTCCATTCTCACTTGCCATTCACTTCCATCTTTTTTGGTACACTTTAAAACAAGAAATTTGTGATTGAATCACTGAAGTGACTTACGCTGACAGATATCTCCTCTCCAAGCTGAACCACACACACATGAAGAAGGATCATCTACTGTTGCTCCATTCATACATGTTCCCCCATTTCTACATGGATTTTTATTATCACAGTTTGGGGTTCCTAGGAATAAAAGCACAGTAAAAGTTAGATTAGTTGGATGAATTGGATTTTTTTTTTTTTTTTTTGTGGTCATAGGATGAGTTCGTACATATTTATACTTAAATGCGCTAACGGTATGTATGACTTTTTAAATCACAAAATGGATTTTCTAAAATCATGTGTGCAATGCATTCTTTCTTTCAATACAAACAGAGACCCTCTAAGTCTAAATCGAATACCCGGTAGTGAAATTACAAGATGAAGTTCCTGAAAACACATTTGACATTGAATGGACAATGTTTACATGGACCATAGGGATTTTGGGTCAAGTAGCATCTGTTTTACCATCATCATCCCCCTCCTTTCCCTAACTATACTGTCTCCAGGACAATTTGCCCCCTCCATGAGGAACAACCACATGATGATAGCAAGGGTCAACGTTTGGTGTTAGAATGGACTTATAGTGTTAATCATTAGGGTCAATCACCAGCTGAGATGAGAGGGTCAAGTTTTCAAGAGCAGCAATTATTTCATTGTCACTTTCATAATAAGCTTCTCTGTTCCCGCTTCCTGTACAATACCTCTCTCTTCTTCTTTGAAGAAAGGAAAAATCTCCCCCTTCCTCCAAGTATCTACCTTAAATCTTCCTTTCCCCTTTCTCTCTTTCTTTTTTTCCTGCCATTCAATCAGGGGCACAATGCCCCCATAGCCCCCCCCCCCCCCCACGCCCCAGCCACGCTACTGATTGTTACTGGTACTTACTTTCGCAGAATGCTCCTTCGGTGAAGGGTGTACAATCACAATATACATTGCCATCTAAGTCATCCACGCATACCCCATTTTGGCATGGGTCTAGATCGCATGAGGTGTAGTTTAGCAGAACTGCAATAAAATGTTTCAAAGTTTAAGCCATTAATCAAAGGAAGTGGTGAGAGCCAGAAGGGTGTTAATATCATATCAGAGAGTAACCTTCGGCAGGGCTTTATTTTGAGTTCTGTTGAATTTGCTTGGATCATTCAGTGCGTGGAATAAGAAAAGCCATACATGCAAAAAGAATTATGGTTGAAAATTAATCGACACTCTCTACAGACTATTTGGTTTTGCAGTTAGGGTTAATTGAAAAGATCTTAATATGAACAAAGAATCAATAAGAGAACTATACTGGTGGAGATGGGAATAGTTATTCAGCTAAATGAAATGAGGCGCCTTCTTTTGAAGGTTTGCCATTCTAAAGGTTTGATGATCTGAAGGTTGAAAACTTCAACAACAAAAAAGGGCTCTTATTTCCGAAGGTTTTTAATTCTGAAAGTGAAATATGATTCTATGTCATATTGTGTATTGCCTTTAAAGGTACTATGTCCCTTTTGTAGCCAACCTCAAATGCTGTAGAACTTTGCAGGAATTATGAATATGTCATGTATGTCTTATCTGTGAAATTTAAACGTTTGCAGCGTCCTCATATTCAAATTATGCAAGGAAACCTGTTTACTTGCTAGACTTCACTGTCAGACACTATTGAGTGACTGAATGGCTTTTTTTTCTTCTTTGGTAATAACATACATGAAAAGAGTTGTAAAGGGTACATGAGCATTTGTCTACATCAATAACACACTTCTTGTGATGGCCAAGATTAAACTGATTGAATCTTTGCGCAGCATAAAACGTATGACCATTCAGTACAATTGTCTGAAAATCAAGACTATTACTTTTGGGCTCTATAGCCCTAAAGTCGATTTGACAACTAATAGTCATTATTTTCCCACTTGAAGACATTTTGAAGCCCCACCTTTTTTAGGGAAGTTCTAAAGTAGTATTATCTTTCAAATGCAGTTGGAATTTAACTTTTTCATTTTTTTGGCCTGCAAATGGGACATAGTACCTTTAAGGGTATCTCACCATTTTATAATATGATTTTATTGACATCTTTTGCTCAGGTACTCATTCACATTAATTTAAAAATGGAAAGTGAATTAGATTAAATTATTTTGATTTTAAAAAAAGTGAAAACTAGAGGTTTTATACTTTCCATGGTGGTTAAGTATCTATATTAAAAGGCTTGATAACAACACCTGATAGCCCTAGAGAAAAGGGTGTTCATCAGAGGAACATTGCTCACATGGTGTTACAAGGAATTAAGGAAAAGCATATATAGGAAATAGCTACCATATGGTGTTACCAAACACTTTCAATAGTGAGATTCACACGACAGTCAACTTACTTGTGATTAGGTTAATTGTGGTTTCAAACTTTGAAGTTATCGTGTAGTTAGGGATGGTGCAGGGGCACTCATGGTTACAAAACTTTAGGTTAACTCAATGGTTTGTGGGCAATGGTTTTGTAACTTAAGTTACAAACCACTATAAAAGGTAAGGATAAAAAGTATAATGTGTGGGGGGGGGGGGGCTGAAGGCCTGTGCGGTAAAATTTACTTTGAGATTACACCAGCATGTATTTAAAATGAATGGATTCCTGGCCTGTAGTTAACTTTGAAGTTTGAACAGTCTTTTTTCAGTCTTGTATGAACCCTCGTCATAATTCTTAGTGGATCATTGTTTATAACTTTGAAATTTCACAGTGAACATAGCTAGTAATGCTGTGAAGACCTTAAAACTTACATTCACAGAAGATTCCCTTGTGAGCTGGTCGGCAGGTACATGTATATTCCATACCACTAGGCACACATGTAGCACCATTCACACATTCATTGAATACACAAGAGGTTGGAGCTATGGTACCCCAGTCAAAATGGAGAAATCAGTATGGAGGAGTTGGCAAAGGTCAAAGGTGAAAGGTCATGGGTTGTTGGGTGATATGCAGATGAGAGGCACGCAGAAACAAGGATCACGCATGTGAAAAAGAGAGAGTGTGAGAGAAAAGATAATATTAATAGGTTTCACACAATGTCATAAGAAGTGTTAGTTCTTGCTACCACAGATCAGTGAAATCACAACCTATTTCTAATTATCATTTAGATGTAGAGGTGTTGTGGTCGAGTGGATACGTCACCGGACAGTCGATCACACTGTCCGTGGTTCGAGCCCCGCCGCGGCACTAATGCCCTTTGGCAAGACATTGATCTACATTTGCCACTCTCTACCCAGGTGATATAATGGGTACCTGGCAGGAATTAATCTCTTGAAATGCTAAAGCGCCGTAATGGCAGCCTTGCTTAAGCCAGGGTAATAATCGGGAGTGTCAAGTCTGAGCGCTATACAAGAACCCAATATTATTATTATTATTACATATAACTAGTAGGCTAATAGGAATTTGAACATCCATCAATGATGTAGGACCTAAAGAAGGGTATAAAAAATGTAATGTGCTTCAGTTAGAAACATGATAAGAAGAATATTGGATATTTTTAAAGTGCACATATCAATAATGCAAGGTGCTCAAGGCACTCTCTCAAGGCGCTCTGCTAGGCTAACGATTTTGGTGCTCACAGCATTCAAGGAAATCTTTCCTACCGTTACCCGTTTAACAACTGGGTGGAGGGATATTTAGAAAGCAATTGGAGAAACACAGAAATGAAGCGATACAAAAAAACTAAATTTATCAAACTGACTGACAATTAACTACAACAGGGTGTTGCATATTTAGATTTACTGATATATTAATACATTACTTGCAGGCACAAAATAATATTGAAATGTATATGTAGGAGAATGGGAAGGGAGTTTCCCTATTCTACCAACATTTTACAATGTACAACTGACAATTGATTAAAAGAAGAGCAGATAATCTGTTTCATATAAACCCCTCATCTGCATGCTAAGAGCCTGAATTCTACAAATGGTACCAGTATACAAACATGTAATCGAGTCAATGCTCTACTGGCTCTCAGCAGACACAAATTACAGTGACGGATCCAGGTTTCTCGGGTAGACAAATAATTACATGTAAAACCAAGGGGTCATTTATTGGTGATTATTGACATTATCTTATACTTTGAGTCATTTCTTGCCAGTTGCCACAATTCCTAAATACTCTTATGTATTTTTACCTCTTGGTAGTGGAGACATTCTTCCCTACAATTAATGCATGTGGAGAATTAATTTGATTTATTGATTTGATTATTGATTTCTGTATCAAATTTTAAACATAATATAATGTAATATAGTGATATAATTTATGTTTCTAAGTACAATACATGCATGATACTCATACTGTATAGAACATAGACAATACATAGGAGCACATTAATCATTTTTTACATCTTGAATTGCTTGCAGCCCTCGATTAAACTAAACTAGTATTAATTAAACTAAACTAAACTAACAGCCTACAGTATATACATGTATGAAGAGAGGGAATGACTTGCAATAGAGAGAGAAAAGATAAAAGAGAGAGGGAGGACTGTAGAATTGCAAAATACCAGACACCTGTTGACATAGAAGACATGACGCCAGGTCATGGACAATAGTGGTTGAATGAATAACATACATAACATGAAGATAAAAGCACAAATCATTAAAAGGGTTAGGAGTATATTCTTTTCTATTTTGAGTATTTGCAAAGTGGGGCACAAAAACAATATGTAGGGGCACATTTTCCTTCCATACTTGATTTTGAGTAAAGATATGGTTTGGATGAGGGGTACATGTCCCCCATGTAGACCCTCTCCCTAACCCAAGACCTGTATCTGCCACCCGGCCAATTAATGTGAAATAGAGTTCCATTAGCTCTCAAGGATCATGTATGAGAGCAAAGCATGCTCTCTTGAACCATTGGTGAGTGATTCTCATTCCCTTTTAATGGGTTAAATGACTCTCATTATAGAACACATATAAAAATCATTAGCCATTATATCAAGGGCAGGGAATATGCCGAGTTTGGGGGATTTTTTAGAAGCACTTGAGGAGTCAAGTAACATAGGAATATTCAGTAACATTTGAAACTTTAAAGGGTAATAGATTTCATAAAGATTTTGTGCACTAACAATCATCAAAGAAGTGCTCAAGTGCAGGTTTTTGAAAAGTAAAGTGTGCATGTTTGATCAAATATTGGAAAAAGCAAAATGCCTTTGCACACTCGACCCAGGTATATAGAGTATTGAAGCATTAACATCATATATTTGTTCATCGTCCAGGTTACGGTTCTACAGAGTATGATCATCACAAAAGCATTCAAGCCATGAGCTGGAGCAGGGCAAATCACAACACCATTGTTTAGCACCAGCAACCTTGACAATTTGGCCAGGATGACATCACACTTCGCTATTCTAGTACATTGCTGCCTGGTAAGGGCATTACCTGTAGTTCCTTAAAGGTATAAAGACCAGTTTTTGAAACGCCCCCCTCTCAAAAAATTAAATGGAAGCTCTTATTACCAATCATGTGAAAGATGTTTTGACTAATATGTGATGATACAAATTTTGCCAAGAAACCGTCTACTAATTAATATATTTGGTAAATCATTATATCTTTCCAGACTGGATAGATATAGGTTAGTCCCATATACACACCTTTGTGTGTACAGTGCTTGTAACTTTACCAAGACTGGGCCAGATTCCAGAACCTTGCAGTACACACCAATACTTATATGCGAGATGATCAACCTTTTCTGATCGGTTCCACAAGGTTTCTTTCACAATTCAATTGCATGACCAGAACTAGTCTATACCTTTAATATGCTAGAGCGCTGTCACAGGAGACGTGCTTAATGGGGGATAATGGGACCGGAGGAGTGTCAGGTGTAATAAAAGCTCGGCGAAATGTAGCGGCGCAATAACACACATCTGAAAAGCAAAATGCATAATACTAAGTAATGTTTGTCAATTAACATTTGAAAAAAACGAAATAGCGCCTTTTACGTTGTATTTCAGCCAATGCCGATGTTGGATTTTTTGTCGGTTTTGTTGTGTTGGTTATATTACGCACAACCAGCCGGCCCATGTTTTGTTATTATTAATTAATTAATTAATTAAGGGTCAAGATATTTTTTTAAAAGTAGAGCTGAATTGGTATGATTATTGGCTAAATTTTACAAATTTTGGGGTCTAAAATTACCTTCATAGCAATTTTAGGTCCCAAAAGGGCACTAGAAATGTCATAGATCATAAGAGCAATAAGCATGCACTTTGAAGGCATTTGCGGTCTGAAAACAGAACTCAACTATTCCTTTAATTTATTTACCAGCTCGTAACAATGAGGTTCTAACTTACTGTGATAAAATCATGATTTTCAACAATTATGTACTTTGCGTTACGGATGCGTTTTTTCGTGCCACTACATTTTGATAAGCTGCGTCACATACATGTACACCAGCATTGTAACGAGAGCCCATTATTATTAAAAAAATAGAATTATCAAACATCAATGGTTTCTTAAAGGTAATACAAAGCTTTGGTATGAGGTCATGAATTTGGTTCAAATGAACATATTGGAAGCATGTGATTTTACAATATTCAATGATCAATGTCGGGTTGAAAAGTGATGAAATTGTAAATAATAAACTCTTTATGTTGTATACATGTAGCTCCCTCAGTCTCACGACTGATATTACTTTAGCTTTAAAACAATGTTTCCTGACTACAATCGTCCAATTTGCTATTCCCTTTGGAAATTATAAATCAATTTTTCAATTCGTTTTTTTATCCATTTAAAATAAAAAATCAATATACAAATCATGCATGTATGAAAATTATACAGTTTAAATGGTCAGGGTACCCCTAAAAGCCAAGGCTTGATGAATGGGGTACCCAAAACATAAAGAAATATACATACAATAAACATGAGATACAAAACAAACTTAATTTTAAAAAAAAACAAAAGAAAAACATTAAACACTAAACATACAGGCAAAGGGAAATAGGAAAAGGTGAAGTAAGAAAACGTAGGGAGGAGAAATGAAATTACATGTTTATTTGACATAGGTAATTATTATTGAACGTTTGAGTTTGGTTTTAAAGGAAGTAACATTACTGCTGGAAGTTACATCAGAAGAGAGGGAATTCCATATTCGAGGACCAACAGATTTAAATGCATTAAGAGTTGACTGATTCAGTGCTAATGGATAATGGAATTTAGAGTGGGAACGGGTATTATATTGATGGTAATCTTTATTATACTGAAATAGTGAAAGAATGATAAAAAAACAAAAAATTACATAAGGGAAGGTGATAGAAGGAAGAAACAAATAATAACATAAGAAAACACAGAAAGAGAAAAGGTCCTCAATCACAACTGCATACCGGTATTCTAAGATTTTCATGGTCGCAGCTACCATGGAATGGCCTTATAGGCGCTATTTGAAATATTTGAAAATTTTATTATTCAATTTCTCGAAAGCAGACATGTTTTTGGGGCTAAATTTTCTAGAGCTTATTACATCCACAGGGGCATCCAAATATATCTCAATTTTTAAGAATTACTATCCATCCCATTTTCAAAATTTCCCCAAAATTTGCATTACTGGTACTTTTAATGGTTTTTCTAATACAGTAGGGTAAATGGCAGTACAAAAAACAGATGGATTTGCCAACACAAATTTGGCTGTGTAAATGGGCGTTTTGTGACTCATTAGAGTAATTTGCATAGCTTGGCCTTGGTATAGTAACCTGTAGGCGCATTTATACTGTCAAATACCTCATTTTGAAAAGTTGCGATGTTTCGCGCACCCGTTTACACGTGTGCGGAAACATCACCGACTGAAAAGCTCAGTGATGTTTTGGCGTGTTTTAGTTGGTAATGCGCATGCGCGGCACTCCGATGCAAAAACTTTCCTCTTTCCTTATGTTATTCTTTGTTTTTCCTTCCATCACCTTCTCTTTCTGTGTTTTCTTATGTTATTATTTGTTTCTTCCTTCTATCACCTTCCCTTATGTAATTTTTTGTTTTTTTATCATTCTTTCACTTCCTCTTTCTGTCTTTCCTTATGTTTTTCTATGTTTCTCCCTTCTATCACCTTCTCTTTCTGTGTTTTCTTATGTTATTATTTGTTTCTTCCTTCCCTTATGTTATTCTTTGTATATATCGTTCTATCATTTTCTTCAAGGACGACAGCAAGCTCCGCTCCTAAAGTCACGTAACCTAACATCGCGATGTTACAACTGCGAGCGTTCATACTTGCCAAACACGCCAAAACACGCCAAAAGATCACACTTCATTTTGGAATGTTTCGGGCTTGGCATGTCTGCCGGTAAAGCGTAGTTGCCCTTGGTAACATCGCGGTCAGGCTCAGGTTTGGCATTTTTTGGCGTGTTTGGAACACAGTGTAAATGCCCCTTGTAACAAGGATAAGTGGAGTACTTTTGTCTATAGGCAATTAATTACCTGATTGTTTTATTATTAAACAGCAATATACATTGTAGGCTTTCTAAATGTGGGTGCAGCTTTTACACTAAACTCTTGAGACAAAAGTACCTTTAAATAATCTTAATACATTATATCAGCACTTCCAAAATTCTTCTTAATTTGTTGAATGACTAAAGGACAGTGCTATATAAATCCCACTTTTTGTTCAGTCAGCTCGTGCAAAGCAAGAATTCCTTTATATGATATCATGTTACATGTAGAAACGTGTTATTAATGTCTTCATTCTGTGAAAGCTTAACAATGAAACTTTCCTGGATCTAACTTCAACCAATGGTATTAGATATTCACAACTTTTAATGAATCACACTTAAAGGGGAAAATACTGGTTGACGCCATCTACGTCTACTTTTGGACAACTGCACGTAAATGAATGGACTTGATTAACTGGGTCAGTGCGCTAGCGTTCGCGAAACAGACCAAAGTTCTCCTCACCCTTCGATTTCATGTACGTTGCACGTGTCCGTAGTGGTATTATACCCGATTGGCCCCTATAGTCAGGCCACGGGAAAGACTCATAGTCTCATCATGCTACAGCCCTTTAACTAGCAATGATACTGCCAATGCACAATATAATAACAAAGTACCATCAAAACCATAATTCATCGAACCGGTGGTAATTACTTAGTTTTTACAAATTTGGCAATAAAACCACATTTCATTTCAAAATCTACCCCCAAACATAAGAGGAAATATTGTCACCAAAGCAGACGATGTTTACAGTTAATGTTTGCATAACCTGATACAAATTGAATAAGGTCATGCATCTATGTGGTTTGAATAGTTTTGCCTCATGGACGTAATACAATCATCAATTCAATTCAGTTCTTCTCGTATGCTTTTGGTCCTGGTAGATTCCAAGTCAATGGGTTTCAACAAAAGTTTCAAAATTTGCAAGGTCATTTCCACTTATATGACGCAGTATCGAAGCGTACGCGGTACATACCACATCTAGATGTTATGTATTCAATGGACCATTTTCCTAATGCATTGCTTGTTGTCAAACAAATAATAAGGAGAAAAACAAACTCTGACATGACCCTGTTATGATTCACTTATGGTCTGATTTTTCATTTCATTTTTCAAGTATAAATGCGTTTACATTGTGAGTGGGCGAGGGCTTAGTGGTACAGTAAAAGTAGTGGTCTCATAACTGGGATGTAAGAACCAAGTCTTGTCTACAATGAATACACCCTAAAGCCACCATCAGTCCCCTGGTTGCTTACAGGTACTTACAAGCAAACACATACCTTCTTGGCAGTGAGGCAGAACAAACAAACATTAAACCCTGTAAGGATAACCCATTAAAAGCTGATAATAGCATACCTGTAGCTTCATATTTCCAAAGGGATCACAGACTACATGTTCTGCATGGGTTTGGACTGACTCTGTGAAAGTATCTGAGTTCATGCCCCTAATTCTGGCTAAATGGACAACAATTTAGTGTTGTATGAATATCTTGTAAAATGACAAAATGCAATCACAAGCATGGAATAGTCACAACTTAACCCTTAGGCCTAAGGCCATTAAAAAAATATATACATGTTTAGCGTCCCCGCCCGCTTCTTTTTGGGGGCCGCCTCCTATTTTTTTTATTTTTTTTATTTTTTTATTTTTTTATTTTTTTATTTTTTAAATTAAAAAAAAAAAAAAAAAAAAAAAAAAAATTGAATTTTTTTTTTTTTAATTGATTTTTTTTTTTTTTAAATTGAAATTTTTTTTTTAAAGAAAAAAAACATGAAAACACTGCTAAAATGGATCTATTTCAGATTGAAATAAAAAAAAAAAAAAAAATGTCGGCTGCCATCTTGAAAAATAGGGAAAATGTACCGAGAGGCCATTTTGAAAGAAAAAAAAAGGGCCTCCTCCTTCCTATTTTTCGAAAAAACAGGATGCTAAACATGTTTTTTTTTTATTTGGCCTAAACAAAGAAGATTTTGTATTGCCCTTTAGGTGCCAGAACCTCGGGCGGTCTGTCAGATTTTTTTTTTTTTTTTTTTCCCCTCGACACAGCAACTGCCGCACAAAAAAAAAAAACAGGGAATGTTGGTGAATTCTAGCTGGTGCAGTGCAGGGATCCATCGTTCTTGTTTACACTAGCACAGATTTTGAAACTAGAGCAGAAGGCGAGTGAGAATCCGGGGAAAATTTGATGATTTTATGCATTTATATCTCATTTAAAACAATCATAAAATACTAAAATTATTCATTACCGGTAAACATTTTTTTCCGAAAAAAAAAACGGTCACAAAAAAAACAGAACATAGATTTTAAGATTTGTGGGTTGGTCTTTATTGTACGCCTTACTGTACTGGGGAGGGACTTGGGACATTTTTTGACATTACAATGTGTCTTACGCACATTTTGATACCAAATCTGTCAAAATCATATAAACCTGTAATGTGTTACATAACAATTAGTATGCGCATGTCATCAAAAAGTGCTATACAGTATACCTATAATTGCATATCATGTACAAGCAGAAATGTGAAAACAGGTTTAGATGTGTTTCTTCAATAGTGGGAGTTATGATTTGATATCAAATTGCTTTGATATGTTTCTCTAAGTAATTTACTGTATTTCAAAACAAGAGAATACATAGAAATTAAGAGTGTATCAGCTTTTACTCGTCTGTACCATTCATAGTGGCCGTCTCATCGGATGCGTCCGGATGCATTTGATGAAAATCAGGCCACTATGAAATTGAAAGGGGTATTAGTTTGATTGATAACAAGGAAAGTGGCTGCTTATTATGGTGCTTTTCAATGGGCCATTTTGGTAATGTAACCAAATCTTTTCATTCATTTGTTACGAATAATTGCATAATAGTCAGAAAGTAAATGTCCTCTATCCTCCCCCCCCCCCCCCTCCCCCACACCAACCCCCTTCAAATTATGCCTTGCATCAAAAAGTTGAAAAAATATTATACCGCTTACCGGTACTAAATCAAGAACAACTACCGGTGTTATCCCTATGTTTTAGATAATGCAATTATGCTAAATTGCAAACAAAATTGCTGTTATCAATGTCACTATTTTGTATGTACAAAAAGAGACATGTACTGCATGTCTTAGGTACAAAACTCATCAATTAAACGTCTACAAAACATAGGATTTTAAACATCAAACTGGAGTCTATTGGTTTCAGGAAAATATTGGAATGTCAAAGTTATGGTCATTTGATCAACTGCGGGTGAAGTAGTACTTACATCCACAGTTAGGTCCAGTGTAGCTTGTAGTACAATCACATTTCCCGTTTGCATCGCATGTTCCTTCATTCTCGCAATCCGAGTTGTTCACACAGTCCATGCCTGAAATAAATTTTTATTCAATTTTTATTTCATTTAATTCAATTTTTATGTTCACTATTAATAATAACAATACAAATACATACACATAAGGTAAATACAAACAGTTCAATATATACATTATAAAAGAACACATGAGCATAACGTATGGTGTATGTAAACTGTCATATGCTAATTTTTGGTAGGGGGTCATTTTTCCCATAGTCATTAATTCATTATCAATATCAGCAAAGGAAACTTGACGGGCATTGACTCTCTATGCATTGGCATTGACTCTCTATGCTTTGCTGGAGTGGGCCTATCCAATGTAAAAATGTGCCCTCATGCTAGGAAAAGTGGTCACATTGCCCCTATTTCGGTCACCTTATTCAATTTAAGTCTTTCATAATATTTCTTATCTCCCAAAGTTGAAGGACTTTTAAAATATTATAATATGTTACAAAATGGTAATTTCAATCAATTATAAACTATAATGCATCATCTAAAAGTGATGGGTAAACTCTATAGGATATTCTAATAGGCAATGTCATCTTACTTTTTAGTTTTAATTATTCCCCAAAGTTTAGGGACTTTTGAACTTTTGAATGTTGAAAACAAATATATAATGCATTGTTATGATTCTAATCAATATAATAAGGGGGTCGCATGTTCCATGACCCCCCCCCCCCCCCCCCCCCCCCCCCCTCCCCCCACCACCAAAAAAGGATTGTCATGATTCTAATCAATACAGTAAGGGGGATCGCATGTTCACATGTTCCCCTGACCCCCCCCCCCCCCTCCCCCTTATCAACACCCTTGATAATACTCACCATTTATGCTGATGAACATCAAAGAAACTGTCACAGACACCAGGAATATCCTCAGAGTACGGGAAGGCGTCATGTCTACTTTCCAAAGACACCTTTCACAGACTCAACTAAACAGTACAGTGGTACTGGTTCACTGCACTGGGTACAAAACTATAAATCCTTCCTATTCGATCTCTATCACTCTTTCCATGCAATCACACACGTATTCTGCCCCAACTTCCCAGTCTTCAGCTGTAAACAATTGTGCAAAACTATGTAAATGTCCTCCAAAATACTTCTTAAAAGTATGAATCGAGTGTGACTTCTACTTATAATATTATTAACGTTAATAATAGAGAAGTACCAATGCGATTCTCCCCACACACAATAGTTAAAGCATTGAAATGTTAGTGGTATCGGCTCGGGTAATAATGGGCGTTCCACGGATCCACTGCCGAATAGTTTCACAACTTGACCGATCAATGCCTGGGTGTGATATGTGATCTCCTCCCCTGGCCCCTGTCAATACTGTATCCACTCTAGCTCCTCAAACAAAAAAAAGGTGATCTATTTATCATTAAAATGACGGTTGCAAGCTCATCCCTGACATTTTAGAACTGTGAATCCGTTTTCTGCTTTGAGACGCTTGTAATTAGCACGGTGAAAGTTTGTAAAGTCTAGTCCGGTGCGCGTGCGAGCTGAAATGAAGCGCTACTGTATACGTGTATACAGAAATAATTAAGTTTGTATGACACCGGTACAGTTAGCGGAGCTGGCGGTGGTACGGATTACCACAGGAGTGGACGGGGTGGTACAAGGGCGTGGCTACTGGTGCGTATCCCTCCTTAGCTTTCACCCTAGCTAAACAAAAGGGTTCCCTGAATATTGAATACATTAAATGCACTCTCTCAATAAATATTACAGCTCTGACGTAGGCTCGGTGAATCATTGACGGGAGTTTTTATTTATTTGTGCCTTTTTATGATGGCTGATTAAAAATAGATCAAATATCAGGGGCAAACAAAATAGGCATATCAAAAGGCGATACATTTTTTCCGCCTGACCCCTCTCTGTCTCTGTCTGTCTCTGTCTGTCTCTCTCTCTCTCTCTCCCTCTCTCCCTATCTCTCTCTCAGTCTCTCTCTCTCTCCCTATCTCTCCATATCTCTCTCTCTCTCTCTCTCCCTATATCTCTCCCCTTCTCTTGCTTATAATATTAATCTTGAGTGGATACACTTCCTAACAATAATTAATTGGCCTTTGAAACACTAGGTATACCGTCTCTCAATAAAGCACGCAGGACCGATCTTCTTTCTTGCTTTTCCCGTCGTCTTCTCCCCTCAACCATGGACTTATTCGGTCGACTCTCGACATCGCGATCTTCTTCCTGAGTTTCGAGGGTAGTATAGACGATGACCCGCCAGCTGCCACGGAACTCCGATACACATCACGTTCCAATGTGTAGAACGACGAGATACCTCCACTCCGTGAACCTTCCAATGTCCGACATTTAACTCAGATTTGAAATAAACGTTGATGAATTCGAAATTAATAACAAACCATATTCATCATCTTCAGTTAACTTTAATTTATTAATTAAAAAAATAAGGGGTTTCAATGTTTGTACAGCTAGCTGGAAAACACAAAGCATGTATTTTTATTTGAAATCGAATTTAATGTTTAATTCTCAATGTTATCGTTTATTTTTATTTGGTATTTGCATTTATTTCATGATTTTTTTTGTTGGTACATGTATAAAACTGGAGGAAAGTTTTAACTGCCGTTTTACCAAACATCAGGAAGCTATACACATTGATGCACTCTCTCAAAACACATCCGATTTTTGGTTCTGTGTGTCTGTTTTCTTGCATATAATTATATACAGCCAGAGGTCGGATATGTTTTCGATTTTCGATATTGTTCCTATCAAACTCCGGATGAATGTATAACTCATAAATTAAATATTTATCGATATTTCAATAATTGTATTTCCTATCTTGCAAGATATTTGTGTTTCAAGTAATTATCTCACCACTGGTTACAATTATGTAGTTATTGTATATTTCAATGTTTGTCCAAACAGGGAGGTGTTTTAGACGTGTCTTTTCTCTCTGTTCTTCTATTTCAAGCTTTATTTCGTCTGTCCCATTCATTTCCCTGTCTCTTTCCATTTCCGTGATGATTTAACCATTGTGCAATGTTATTCATAACTGCATTTTGTTATTTTTAATGTCTGGTCTTTTTATTATTCAATTAAAAAAAATATTTAAAAAAAATCAAATTTCTCTTTAAAACTTTAGTTTCAATCTATTCGAGCCGGTAACAAAGTTACATTATGTGTTCACAATCGATTAATTCGAGAAGTTTTATCATGATCTAATGAAGTCAAAATACGATCAAAAAGACTTTCATTAAAAAAAATGTATAAGAAACATTTGGCAATTTCATAGCCCTTCCCATCGGCTACTGAACGAACATTACAAAGACACATTACATAACTTCCTATGACTTTTCTTTGATAAACAAAAGGGTTTTGGCTGCCTTCGAGAAAAGTTTTCAAAAGTCTTTAATGATCGTGTTAATTGAAGTATTGTTTTATTCCCACTCTGGCGGAGAGAGTAGAAAGAGTTCATTATTCCTTTTGCCCAAATATCACCTCCCAGTTTCTTCCCTCATATCTGAGATAGGGTCTGTTTCTTTAAAGCAGATAATTAATTTTAACAAAATGTGATCCCTTATCCTTCACACATTATGTAGTATGTTTTCTTCTACATTCCTTTTCAATTTCCTCTGAAACATTTTGAGACAGATCCATATACAATACAAATAACGTTCTCATTCCTCATAAACAACGAGCAAATCCGTCCTAATTGAATAATCAAATTGCTTTCTCTGTTTACTTTGTCTGATTGATTGGTTGGTTGACTGATTGACTAATTGATAAATTGATTGATTGATGTATTGATTAATTGACTGAATTATTTATCAGTTGCATTGTCCAGTTTGAGAACATTACGAGAGAGAGAGAGAGAGAGAGAGAGAGCGAGAGGAATATTGTAGAACTGGATCATTGGCTGGACATCCCACATAATATGTGCATGGGTTATCCATTAAATAATATACTTTTTTTGTTTACTATATTGAAAGAAGTTTTATAAGTTTAGAATTCGAAACATTATCACGCCCCGTTTCAAATAAGATGCTTATACTTTGGCCCCATAATTGACATTGACAATATTTCGTTGGACGTCTGAGACGAAATTATTTAGATTGAGATTGAGATTGAGATTGAGAAGGTTTTATTGATTGCACTTCGCAGCCAGATGGCTGAATTATGAACAATTTACATTGGCAATAAATTATAATACATACAAATGTGGTTTGACATTGTCACAAAGTATAACATACAGTATATAACAAAATCCATAATAAAGTTCATAACTAATATGACTATAAGGCAATAACAGGCAAATTAAGTCACGTTTAAAATATATTTTGTGAGGTAACACAAGAGTGGGTCAAAGGATGAGCAAGCAGGCCCTTTGCTCTTCAATACACGCTCTCATTCCTATACACGCTCCTATTCTCACTCCTGTACCATGGAATACACACCACCATTCATACTCCCATACACTAGCTAACGGTCTGCTCGCTCATCCTTGGACTTCTCGTGTCAAGGAGTGTCGGGTATTTCAAAAAAAATGATCAACAAAACAAGTAAGCTCCTTCCCGACTTTCGTACATTGGAGAGAAATAAGCAAATGAATTAAAGACTTGAACACCAACTGATCTGAATTGCCATGTCATGATTGCTACAAAACCTTATCACTATTCAATGTACATTTTAAAAAGATGTTACAAGTAATTATGGAAGCATACAATTTAAAATTTAAAATGCGGAATGTAAAATGTAAAAATGTAAAAATGTAAAAATGTAAAAATGTAAAAATGTAAAAATGTTAAAATGTATGCAGACAATGAGACTCCGGACCATTCAACAGGTAGACAATTAAGATTCATTCATGCATTCAACAAGTCTATTAGGTACGGAATTGAGCTATTTATAGCGGTTCGTTTTACAATGAAATTGACGATACTTGGTCCTTCTTCGCAGTGAATAATTTACATTATTGTTAACAGGTAACCAATGTTTACAAAGTGGGTTGTTGACAAGAGATGAAGCAAAATTAGTGCATAATTGTGTGCGTCTATCTGACAGGGTCTGCAAAGAACACACTTCAAGAGCTTTGTCATAATTAATATATTGATCACCTAATATGGTCCTACATGCTCTTTTCTGGATTCGTTCCAAACTTAAGATATGACTTTGGGTGAGGTTTCCGATATGCAGGTACTCCATAATCCAATATTGGGCGAATATATCCTTTGTAAATTGTTACTAGATCACAGAATGGTAATCTGTATGTTTTGAGAATACGAAGCATGAAAAGTTTTTTATTAGCACGGCATAAAAGGTCTGAGATAATTTTATGACTGTCCCATTTCAAATCGGACTGCACAGTTATTCCTAAAATTGTTGCTTTTTGTACACTGTTTAAAGGTAAAGACCAGTTATGGTCATGCGATTGCATTGTGAAAGAAGCGTTGTGGAATCGATCAGAAAAGGTTGATCATCTAGCATCTAGCATCTAGCATCTGCAAGGTTCTGGAATCATCAAAATGATAAGAAATTTGGCCCATTCTTCGTAAAGTTACAAGCACTATACACAGAAAGATGTATATGGGACTACCCTATATCTCTCACAGACCATGAGAGAAACAAATTTACCAAATATATGAATTAGTAGGCGGTTTCCCGGCAAATTTTTTATCATCATGTATTAGTCAAAACATATTCTTTCACATGATTGGTAATGAGAGCTTCCATTTCATTTTTTTGAAATTGGGGCGTTTCCAATACTGGTTTTACCTTTAAGCACTCATCCCCGATAAACAAAGGTCTCTGATCAGCTATATTCTTAGAAAAAGAGATAAACATACAATGACATTTCGATGGATTAAGAATTACGAAGAGACCATTGATAAAAATCAGATAAAGTATTTGGTAATTTATCTTCATTTACTTTCAAGGAAGGCCAGTAATCCAATCCATTTAACTATTATTCTTTATGTGACGGTCACCATTGTTGTGATGGCGCTCTTCAATAATGAGTGTCAGAACATTATGAGCGCAGCTACTATAGTATGTTTTAAATTCACTTGATGAATGAGTTATTTGAAATTCATTTTTGTGCATTGTTACCGTGATTAATTTACTTGATTTATTTTAAAGATTTATTTAGAAATAATTTCGTTACTATTTGTATGTAGGCCCTACTAATAATTGAAGAGTGTGGATTCTCTTTTAATAAATTTGAAATGTGAATGAATGCTGGATTGTATGGTTTCATAAATCGTTTGCTTCCTCTTATTTGCCCCGTGCAACATGTTGAGTGGCCCGGCCTGCAACGGAGGGGGATGGGGTGGGGGAGGCTGTCAATTTCGATCATTAAAGCATTTCTCAAATCGGGTAAAATAAACAGTTTTATGGAATATTATGGAATATAGTTTATGAAAAATAGTTAACCTGTCTAATGCTTTAGAATATGGACTCATAATCAAATAAACGCTTCCAAAATCACCCCTTAATGAGGCGCAAACCATCGAGAGAAGTAAAACAGCATTTTTCAGCCCTTAAAATCTGTTTTAACATTTTGCCCTTTTAGAAGCTACAAAATGTGTTGCTGTTTAATATCAAGAAGCAATTATAAACAAATAACAAAAGCAAAATATTAAAAAAAAAAATTTATAACAAAACTAAAACAAATTATTAGAATGGCGGAGAATCAGGTGTTTATACTTTTACTTTTTGTGTGATAATAGACCTTTCTGAAGCGATCTAGGGCCCCATTGCAACATTCCACGAACAGTAACGTACCCCCCCCCCCCCTCCCGATAGACAAAAAAAGTAGGGGAGGGGCCTCAGAATACTCGATCATGGGTATGTGCATAAAACATGTTGTGAGTTAAATATCAACAGGCGCGGATCTACGGGGGGGGGGGTTAGGGGGTTTAAACCCCCCCCCCCCCCAAAAAAAAAAAAAAAAAAAAGGGGAAGAAAGAAAGAAAAAAAGAAAAAAAGAAAGAAAAAAGAACGCACGCTGGAGAGAAACCCTTTCAAGTGCAAATATTGTGAGAAGATATTCAACTCATCTGGTAACTTAACCAAACACATGATAACTCTGGATATAACTGTGTATTAAACTGTTACTTGATTTAAAAAGACGTTATCATGCACTGCTTTTTATGGTCTCCATTGTGTTAATAGATGCCAGGAAAACATCACTTACGGGGTTCAAATAAACACCCCCCAAAAAAAATCGGTTCGCCGCTTCGCGGCTCGTGGACGATGCTCCGCATCGTCATTATTTTGGTCAACCCCCCCCCCCCCCTTAGCAAAAAGCTAGATCCGCCCCTGATCAACTTTATGTTTCTCTGTTTTGTCTTATATACAATAATCAAATTGATATCAAGATTATTTGCAGTAATTCATTCATTCAAATAACAATTTACTGGTACCAGTTACTTTCTTTTTAATTATCGTTGTCATTATTATTATCGTTTTTCTTAATAATTGTTCTTCTTATTATAATTATTATTACTACGATTTTGTTATCATTATTATTATTATTATTATTATCATCATATTTTTTCTCACTATTGTCGATAGTGCATGTTATTTCATATTAATTCGATTTGTTAAATTGACAAACTCAAACTGATGGTAAGCTTGTCTGAAACCCCAATGTGAATGACGTGAGAATAAATTGTCATTTTCATTGTCTAATGTTATAATTCGACATATGAGCTGCCGAACTTGGAAGTAACGATTTGCATTCAATACTGTACTTGTACAAAGGATATAGTACCTAGGCCCTAACAACGACATAAACGCGGCAACGATGCCCCGCCTCCTATCCTAATTAATATTCACAAGCGGCCTTTAAATTTATAAATATTCATATATCACTCCTCATTCTAAAATACGGTTTTCCTTCTTATTCCAAACTTAAAATGGGCCAAAAGTTCTCTTTAAAAACTCTTGTGCTATTGTATGTGTACCACAAAGTATCCACATTCATTTATTTACCGTTCTATTTCATTTCAAAGTAACAGAGACGGGATACAAGTACTAATCTCATTTGCATATTCATCATTAGATTACGATCCTGACCAACCCCGCGCGAAAATTCACTCCCGCGCGAAATTCTGGCTGTGCTAGAAGCCTTTGATCTCGCGCCTTGTATTGTGCGTAGAGAATATGCGTTGATGAATGAATGAATGGGTCCAAGATCGATAAATTTGGGGCTAGCTTGTTGGAGCTTGTTAGGGCGGCGTTCAAGATTTGTTTCTTAAAAGCTTGCTTCAGAGTTTTCCTGTAGGATTTTTCACCAACTTTCAGCTGATGTCACTGTTGTCATATTATAAGTAATATTCTAGATTCAGGCTCCATCTAGATGAGTGGGATTTTAGCGAGAAAACTCGGTAAACTATACCGCTGATTTTGAGTTTGAGGCCGAGGCTTTTCTCTGTCCAGGGTTGTTCGGGACCGCGACCGACGGGGGGACGACCGGACGCCTGGCCGCTGGCAAGGGGAGATTCTGGAATCTGACTCGGACTTGGCCGAAGAAGAAGCTGAATTCAAGATGTTTCCAGGAAGATTAAATAACAACTCAAGACCTGAAGTGTTGCGAGAGCTGCCAGTTTCAAGCAGTAAGTTAAGGGAATGCTTGTGAATGTGAATTATTGTTCAAGTTAAACATGATGTAGATCTAGACTTCTAAAAAACTTTTATTGGAATTAAAATTCTAGGCTAACAGTTAGACTCTAACGTTAGGTCTAATTTAGACTTCAGTCATTCCAGTGTAAAATTTAATTTTAAAAGATTAATGAACAGAAATAGTCTAATGAAATATAAAGTTCAAAGGTCATAACTTGACCCTCAAAGTTGGGCCAATTAGTCTTTTAATTAACATAAAATCAATTGAAAGAGTCCAGAAACGCGCTGCAAGATGCGTGACAAACACCTACGGCCATATACGGTAGAGACACTAGCATCACTAACATCCTGTCCTCACTATAGACTGGCCATCTTTGCAAGTGCAAGAAGGCGCAAGCAAGACCGTCTCTCCTGTCTCCACACAATGATGATGGCAATGATTGAAATGAAGTGAAGAGATGACATGATAAGGAATGAAGAGTTGACACAGAAATTTTATGTTGAGTATTCTAGCTGATATTGATAATAACATCGTTTTAACTTTGGCCATAAGTAGAGGGAGCAACATGATTTAATAGATTCTGGAAGAGAGTTCCATAGGTAAGGAGTATGGTGTCTTAATTTATGGATCTAGATTATAGATAGGGTCTATGGGCAATAAGTAATTTTTGGGTCTACTAGATGAAAATTTACGTAGAGTGACTAGATATCCCATTATCCACCAAAGATTTTGGAAGTCTAACATTAAGAATTCAGTTTCTGACAAAAATTGAATTAATTGCTTGAGAGAAGAAAACATCTTTGATGAAGTATACATTGTTTTTATGTTTTTTTCAGTTGACAGCAATGCTAACATCGGAAGGACCACCCGATCTGGTAACTCGATCGTCATCACTATGAGCCCTGAGCGCCCCCCTCGGATCCCCATCACTGCAATGGGAGGAGAGGGACCGTTCTGCTCTCCTGTTCAATATCTCTATGCTACTGGTAGAACCAGGAGGAGACTTCAACTCTATCCAAGTGAGTCCAATGTTTCTTCTAATCTGCGTTTTCTTTTTATATATTTGTCTTTTTTCTGTCTTTCCATTCAAACACACTCTGAATTATGTGTTAAATGAGTACCATGAATTACTGATTACAGATCTTAGTTTTTATTTTGCACTCCGTCCTTTTATCAACGAGGGAATTTCATGTTCATGATTCAACATCTCACATGGATTTACACATATATTTCTTTTTTTCTTCATAGGGTTTAGAATTCAAAGGCTTAGACGAAAAGTATTTCTTTTGCAAATATTGAACTGCTCATACAGTATACATTTATATTAAAGTATAGGAAGAGAGTGAATGTTAAACAGAAAATGGTTTCAAAAGTTTTTCTCAAAATCAATATCATTGACAAATGCCTTTTTATGATCATTTGTTATGTTGCTCAATAGCAGATTATGACCTTTCCATTATTTCCAAGATTTCTATTAAAAATTTTGATTGTTTTTCTTGATAAATCATCCATAAATTTTAGAACCTGGAGCTTTAGATGTAGTTCTTGAGTCATTGTGATAAATAAAAGCTACTTTCAGTGACCTTTTGATTTTCCACGTTTAATAATATATTTATTGATTCCTTTTGTAGACCTGGATCGCCCTGTCTCACCTACCTTTGATGACTTCAAGCCCCAGCTGGCCAGCACCCCTGGCCCATCATCCCCTTGCAGGTCATCACCCAGGTCATCGCCACGGAAACGCAACATCACCCAGACATCTGACTATTACAGTCATCTTGGCAGTGCAGAGGAGAGTATTCTTCAAGAGAGTGTGTCGTGGTTGAGGAGAGCCAAGAAAGCAAGGAAGGAGAGGAGGGAGTCTGCGCTTGACCTTGTTAAGCGGTTGAGGGCGCTGTCAGTCGATCAGCTAGCGACGGTTATCGGTGATCTAATCAAACAACATCCTGACTTAGAAGAGGTAATTTCTAACAAATTTAAATTCAATTTATTTCCACTTTAAAAACATTTACAAATCAATAATACCTACATATGAATAATATACCTTGAATATAGTGGCGGGGTCATAAAAAGCACTAAATTGGCTTGTTAAAAATGCAAGTGTTCCGAATCAAGAGGCATTTCATGTTTTTGGCTTGCATAAAACAAGATGTCAGAATGAAATTGAGTTTTGTTATATCAAGTTTACTTTAGCCCAAGTTGTCTTACGTTCAGTATTCTATGGGCTTGAATGAGAAGCAAACTTTCAAGAATTGTTTCAGGGGTTCAGATTTATGAAAGTTTCACACTAGAAATATTAGATTTACAGCTAATTCAGAAATGACTGAATGCCTTCCACAAAACTTTCTGTGGAAATGGCCATTGCCTATGATTCACTACACTTAAAGGTTCCAAATAATAAGGTTTTTAGAAATACGGAGCTATTAGCTGATTCCTCTATATACAGCGAAGTATGATAGTGTATGAGAATAATTCCTTTCCTTTTTAAGCCCGCAAAATTTTGTTCTTTGGTCACGTGGAAACGTCACCAGACTGTGGATCACAAGGTCAGCCGTCCGCGGCACTAATGTCCTTTGGCAAGAAATTGATCTAACTTTGCCACACTCAACCCAGGTGATGTAAATGGTTACCTTGCAGGAATTAATTCTTTGAAATGCTAGATGGCCGTAATGGCAGGGTTACTAAAGCCAGGGTAATATTTAGGAGTGCCAAGAGTGTCAAGTCTGACAGATATGAGTGCTATACAAGAACCCACCATTATCATTATTATTATACCCTGTTGTAGGATCTTCAAGACTTGGTCCCTGAGCCTGATATATCATCGTGTGAGGAAGAAGTATGTGAGCTGCTTCATAACATCTACAGGGCTATGCCAAGATCAAGACTAAGCTCATCACGTGGTGCTTACTCCTACAGACAGGTCAGACTACACATCATTAAATTCAAGGTAAGCTGTTTTCTTGGATTATGTTCATACATTGTTTGTTTGTTGTTATATTGTTACCTAGTGCTTATAAGAACTGCAACCCATCTTGATGCAGTTTGCAATTCATTCAACCACTGGAAACATCTATGAAAGACAATGTGTTGTACTGCTTTTTTGAAAAAAATGATAAATCATCTTTATAGGTTAGTTCTTTTGGGATGATGATATACATGTACATAGTGGAAATATAGGGGTCTTTTTGATCATATGTTTACTTATCATGCTTAGATGTGCATTCTTGCACTGCCACTGGTCAGGCACACATTTCTCCTATATTATGTAAGCTGTATAGCGCTCACGTCCAAGATAATTGATACTGACATGTTCATGGAGCAGCATGGCTCCACACTCACTTTTTATTGAAGCAGGTTCAGATCAAACTTTTTACTGTCTGTGTGTACTAGTTAAATATTAATATAGAAATGAGCCTTTATGTAGATCTACTCACATTCTAATAAGTTTTGGTATTTTCTCATTTCCCATTTTTTAAAAATATTCTGACAGAGCTTGCATTTATTTGTAGGTTCTATCTTTCTGTGTGTACATCTCATTGTGTGCAAAGAGTTGTGTATAGTTCAAGAGGTTTGCAGTCTTTGCCATTCTTTGGTCGATAATGGCTGACGATGATAAAAGCATTTAGTGTTGGTCCCATGTATTGCTGAAGTGTCTTAGAGTCCATTGTATTGGCCAGTTTGTATGAGCATTGACCAAACCATGTAATTAAGCTGACTGACCACACCAGCCAGTGTCATTGGTCAGTCATAAGTGAATGGTCAACAGTGAAACAAAGGCTTTAAATCCCTCTTCCAAGAATACACAGCAGCCATGACTTAGGGATCTATTCATCAAGGTATGAGTCAACCCCCATACAAGATCAGCTAAGCTTGAGTATAGGAACAGGGGATCTTCTCATAGTATTGATTCTGTAGGTATTTGAAAGAGATTCCCCAAGGTCTGAATGTGTATGTTAAAACTAGGTTTGTCAAGTTATAATGGTAAATTATGCAATGCTATTGGATTATACTTTATGAGTTATTATACCGTATATGTAACTATGAAATAATGATTTAATACATGGCATGTAAAGTATATGTACATACATAACTTTTTTATAAGCACTCTTTAAATGTTTTTATTTCTCAGTTCGTTTTACAATTTGGCACAACTAACATGTACAGGTATGTATCTACTCACGCATGTATCCCGGAACTGTCTTTTTGAATTAAATTGCTAATCTATTTTGAAAAATATTTTGTGTCCATTTCCCCATACAGAAGGAATGCATCCAACATGGCCGCCATTTCGTGAAGTGTAAAGCATGGGATGCAGCAATACGATATGTGCTGGTTGCCTGGCAACAGGTTCACAAACTCCCTGTGTAAGTACAATTAAATGATTTAATGGATTAGATGGAATCCAGTGAAGCCATCTGTAGTGACACACTTGTATACAAAGAAAAAACATTAATATCCCCTGAACAGCTGTGCTTCTTAATACATGTATATTGATTAACCTGTTCGTAAAGACCACCTGTCTGTAAGGACCGTATTTCTTGTCTTGAGGAACTTTCATCTTACAGTTTCACTTTAATTCATTCTTGGTTTACCTATAATGAATATGAGAGTTACAAAACACTATCTTGGAAAAGTGAGGTAAAAACCTTTATCGGACCTCTTGAGATTATATCCTGACTGAATACAATTGTGCAAGCATGGTCATGTTTTGAGTTCTATTCAGGGCTGTTCATACAATAAAGAGATTACTAAAGGATGTGATAAATCCTTAATCCTTGCTAAGAGTTTCCATTTCTATAGGATCAAACTTGAGCTGCGTTCTTTTGTTTTGCAAATTGATTCAGAATTGCCTTTCAATTACATGTACCGTATTTGAATTAGCTGTATTTGGGGAAAATGAAGGCTTAATTGGCTAAAAGGGATGATAGTAATTTCTTTGAACTGTATACTTCAAACTTTTAAGGACACTCCCTCTCATCGAGGGAACAGGATATGTGTGGGTTAAGGGCAAAAGGCTTATGACACAAGTTTTTTGTTAAAGGTAATAATATTTCAACAGGATTGGATTATGAATTTAAAAATTTGCATTACCATCGTGAAACTTTGTGTTAGAACTTCGACAAAATTGGGCTCTGAAACGCTAATGATTTCAAAAAATTAAAAAATTTAATTTATCGATGCTCCCATTGAATTTCAAATCGCCTACGGCCATACAATGGTAGCTGCGACCATCATAATCTCGGAATATGCAGTTCTTATGTATAATTTCCAAACAGGAATAGAAAAGTGGTGGATTTTAGTCAAGAAACATTGTTTTGAAGCTAAAGTTATATCAATCGTGAGAGGGAGCTTTACAACATTAAGAGTTTAACATCTACAATTTCATCACTTTAGACTCGATTTCAACTGCGACAACGATCATTGAATATTGTAGGATTGCACATGCTTCCAATATGTTCATTTGAATTGAATTCATGACCCCATATCAAAATTTTGTATTACCTTTAATCTAGTGCTAATGTATCTGGCATCATGGCTAAATAACCATGTTTACTTTTCATACATTGTTTATTTTATATCATTTTTATTCTCTCTCTTTTTGTTGATTTAGCTGGGAGTGCCCTGCCCATAATCGTCTCAGGACGACCTCTTACCTCGGACTGGCTGGCGTCTGTGTAGAGGCCCTTAGGAAAGGAGCCTTTAGTCTACAAACATTGCAAGAGTTCAGACCAAAGTAAGACCCTCATTGAAATATATTTTGATTGAAGATTTTATATATACAGTCAAACCTGCTTGAGAGGTACGCAGTCTGCATATAACCAAAAATGCACAGACCATATAACCAAAAATGCACGACCGTGCAATATAACATCTATTATATATACCAACAATCCTCCAATCAAATGACAAGAATCCACGTAGGTGTTGTATAAAATTGAATATCCCGTTAATGTGAAGCAAATATAACATCATGATTTTGATTAGGATATGACGGGGTAGAAACTAATTGCTGTATGTGTGTAGAGGCCCTCAGGAAAGGAGCCATCGGTCTACATAACAAACATTGTAGGAGTTCAGACCAAAGTAAGACCCTCACTGAAATCTCTTCTGAAAGATGACTGTCACTGTATACTATCAGGGCTTAACCTTACCAGGCGCCCAGGACACATGGGCACCAAAGACTCAGTACGGACCCGCCTCCCCGAAATAAAACTCATCAAAATCACTTATTTAACAAGCTTGAAAGAAATTCATGATTTGCTTTACAGTTTAACAAAGGAAAACAACACATCCCTGGCTAACTGCCCCTAAATACTGGGGGGGGGGGGGGGGGGGGGATCTTGTTACATTAGGCTTATCACTCTCAGTGGAAATGTTGTCCTAAATTGATTTTGTACATGAACGTGTTGATCATTTTACGGGAGGGAGGGAGGGAGGGGGGGGGGGGGGTGGTTGGGTTGTCCTGGAATCTGCAGGCTTCTTGTCACTCTCATTGATTGTTGGTCAACGTTTCTACCTTTTATATGAACAGACTGTCAAAAAGTGTATGCTGTAATATTGTGGTTCATTGAGATGATTCACACTCGCTCTTATTTCCCTCGTTTTGTTGCAGGATTGAAGCCATGGTGAGTTCAGCTCCAGAGATGGCAGCTTGCCTTCAGAGGTTAGATATCATGACGGAAACCACATCAGAAGCATGATTAGAATGAGATATGGACGCACCCTAGGAAGAGGCTTCAATACAGATGTCTTGAGAGAAACGACACATACATGCAAGGACTCATCCAGAGGTTAGTATGACTGAAACGACATCTGAAGCGTGATTGGGATCACCATGTGAATACACCGAAGGAAGAGTCTTACCTACAGATATCATGAAAGAACAATATCAGAAGGATGATTAATATCAAGATGTGAACACACCCAAGGGACAGCCTAGTGTTGAGAGGTCGGATATTTTGACAGTTCGGTCATCTGAAGGGCACATGAAACTCCACATGACACATCCTAAATGTTTGATGCGATAACAGAGAAAGAATATTTGAAGCGTATAAGGTGATGGTGTACCCTAGAAAGAAACTTGATTGCAGAGGTTGGACAATAGAAACGATATCCGAAGCATAGCTTGGATTATGATGTGAACACAACTTAATTAGACAAGTCTTCTACACAGGTTGAATATTGTGACACTCATTTTTTCAGAAGTGCAGCTAAAGAGAGATGGATTACCACTAGTATGGATACCTTGATTGTAAAGCTTTAATGTTGTAATAGAAATGTCATTCAACTGATCAGTTATGCTACGGTCACAAAGGTTCGTATGAATGATAATTTTGTACGAATCTCCCTGTTTTTCCATTGTCTGAAAATCGTTCGTACGGCGTTCGTAGCATTTCAAAATGGCATTTGTGACCACGGCTTTAGATGCCTACAAGCCCTGGGATACTACTTGTTTATGTGGACAGATCTTTTGCATTATTGTTATGTTTTGTAATTGATGCCATCATTGTTTCTTGAGACAATTATCCCATAGATACATGTATATGTATATTTCTTTACTGCGACGTTTTGGATTGAACACACTTCTATGTGTTTCTTCTTCGGATGTACTCTAAATGATGAGAATCTTAGCACCTTTTGTAATGATTCACAAGGAACACTGATGTGTGATTATTCACATAGGGATGGAGTCACGTTAATATCTGAATGCATCGTGCTCTGAGCGTTGTATGAACACGCTTTGTGATGCCACCATACCATGCCTACATATGGAAAACCTGTACCACAACTACAGTTTTGCTCGAAAGAAAGTAGACACCCTCACGCCATGTTATATGTGAATGCATACATTATTGCAAAGACAAATGTGCGACATTGCGGGAAGGTGTCTCCTTTCTATTAGGCAATACTGTAAGCATCATTAGTAATGCATGAACAGTATTCAGGGCTCAAATTAATTTTTTGTCCACGGGGGCTCTTCCCCCCAAAAAGAGCCCCCGTGAGCCTTCTCACGGGGGCTCTTTTAGTACTGACGGGGGCTCTTTTTTATACAAATATCCATTGAATTGGTACCTATGATACTCCTCAATTATTTGCTATTTCATCATTATCATTTCAATCAGCATTTTCACTCTTACAAATTTACAAGCTACATAGCTGTTACTGGCCTGTGTATATAATATATACGCATACAACACTGATCTTTATGATGTCTTTAACGTGACATATCTTCTTCTCCCCTTGCAAACGAGAAAGCAAACAAGGTCATTAAAAGGGATTAAGCGACGAATAATGATTGTGATTCAAATTGATGCGAATATATGTTTGAATAAGCACTGCTATTCACCCGAATCTTCTTTGTAAAAACAACTTTTACAAATCTCAGCCATGCTTACTGAGTTGAGACGTTCCATTCAATGTAAAATACTCATTAAAGAATACATTTCTCCTAATCTGAAAGTGATCTTACAACACAGTGGCAGATTTGCATGGCTGAGATTTGTAAAAGTCGTTTTTACAAAGAAGATTCTGGTGAAAAGCATTGCTTATTCAAAAAAATCATTGCATCAATTTGAATCACAATGATTATTTGTCGCATGATCCTTTTATTAAATAACCTTGTTTTCTTTTTTTGTTTGCAGGGGGAGAAGAAGCCATGTCACGTTAAGAAATCATAAAGATCAGTTGTATTATGCGTATATACATTTATGATACCAGAACAAATGTTGATTATCAGAATGTCACTTTGGAATACCTCTATACAAATACCACATTGTCTTTAGCCCGTATCAGTATTAGTATCATCCAATATAAAGCTATTATTCTTTATTTAATTCAGTATAATGCTTTTCCTCAAAAATAGTTTTGCTATTTCTTTGGGGTTGAGACGCTAAGAAATGGTTTCAAAATGTACATTACACGAACCCTGCATGAACCATTGCAAAATGATGGTGGCTGTCCCTCTCTCTCTCTCTTTATTTTAATCATGCATTATCAACTACATATAAAGCAGCAACCAAAAACTTAGGGTTATCTGAGATAGGTGAAAGTAAGAGTTAAAAAGAAAGTCATGCTAAAACGGCGCTTCACTCCCCCCCCCCCCCCCCTGAAAAAAATAAAATAGATTAGTAGTCCTCCTCTCCAGCATCCCCCCGGTTTAATATCACATTTTCACTTGGCAGCCCAAGGGGGCCGGGGGGGGGGGGGGGGGGGGGGGGGGGGGGGGGGGGGGGGGGGGGGGGGGGGGGGGGGGGGGTCACACGTTGCAGTCCACGTTCTCATCGTGCAGATCTAAAAGTCCCTAATATTGATTTACTGTTTGAGGTTCATTATTTGCTGGTCATTTGAAATCACCAGATTTCAGCGGGTTAACGCTTTTACAACGAAAAACTTCTCCATGACCATCTTTCTGCCCTTGCGCGATCGCCTCCAGCTCCAGCAGACATGGCGCGGCAGCGTGCACACGTACCGCTAAGAAGAAGTAGGCCTATAACCACTGCTGACGGCGGCACTGCACTGTGAGCTGAAACGGTAATAATAGGCCTATACTAATAAAACGAGAAATCTTGCACGCTAATCTAAGTTCCATTTCATTGGTTTAAGGTTTGAAAATTGAAACTCAATATTGTGTTAAAGTTATAACAGAAAAGATAATCTTTATTTTATAATTCCACGGGGGCGATTTTTAATTTTGCAATCGCCCCCGTGAGCAACCTGACGGGGGCGATTATGTAGCCCACGGGGGCGAATCGCCCACCGCCCCCGTGTATTTTGAGCGCTGCATTCATATGTTGTATTTTGTTTAATTTCTCTTTCCTTCTCAACCCCACATGCAGCTCATCTTTTAGTATTATGTTCTGTACCCTCGATCTCTCACTTCTTTTTGTCATTGTCTACTCTTTGTATTATGACCGTGTTCTTCTATCTTTGTCGTGTATAGTATTGTGTTGTCCCTTTCTCGTCTCTGTTGGCATTCCCCCTTCCCCCCCCCCCTATTTTGTAGGTTTTTTATAGTTATAGATTAGTTAATTTAATTACTCATTATTCCTAAGTTTCATTTGAGGTGTTCACACTTGTACAAGCATTGCTTTTTAGTGGACCCCTCTGTTTCCAACATGTATTTTTAAAATTTCTTTTAAATGCTTATAATTGATTTGTAATGTTTTGTTGGAAACATGAATAAATTTGAAATCTTGAAATCTTGAATATTTACAAGGATACTGGCAGTGAATGTGAACATACAGATATGGTGAATACAACCGAGAACTGACTTTGTGTTCATCTTAGAGGAATAGGTGAAAGAATGTGTGTGTTTGGGGGGGGGGGGAACATACCCTCCAAGACTTCATAATGTTACTTAATGTTTGTTTGTTTTGTTTCTGAGTCAGCTGAATTGCTTTTGTGTCGGTGCGCAGTCACTATCTTGGCTGTGCATGTACTGTATTAAATAACTTATTTTGTATTTAAAAAGATACATTATATTTGTTGTACTTTACTGTGCCTTAATTTCTAAAAAAGTATTCTTTTTGGACAACCATTGCTGTTGCTTAGAATATGCAAATACATGTATGTATTTTTTGCTTTAATTTCTTACGTAATATTAGCAACTGTAGATTTTGCAAAGTACTGCAAATGTTACAACTACAACAACAGTGAACATGCTCTTTGTGAACTGTTTTCTAATGAAGTCATTCATTTTCCTATTATCAAACAGGGTATTATTTAGAAAAGCTTTGAAAGATTAATACATGTATGTCTCGTGTTCAATCCTTGACCTCATGCAATGCTGCTATGTCTGCCATAAGAGATTTGCTGGTCGATATTACTTTATTTTTCTCAATGAATTTTGTTGGGTGGCAGTATCAATGATGTATTGCATTGGTTATAAATCAAGTTTTGTATTTTTGATCAATGGGGGCTATATATAAGGGCTATACACTAGTTGTGACAAACGAGATTGGCACCAAACCTACAACAGACCAAACGATAAAATGAGACGACACCTATGGCCTAGAATTGATCGGTATGGAGTTGGTCTGGTGGTGCGAATGAGCTCTTTACTCTGGTCTATGTGTGATGAATACAGAAATTAAATTAAAAATAAAAATAACAAAATATACCCAAAATCCTTTGCCTTTTCCACTGTTGCTACCTTTTATGAATTAGGCCTTATTTATGAATTCATTAATACAAAACATGTAAATATGTTCAAGATTTGTCATTTTATATGAGATATTTTTCTGCGTTCATTTATAATTGAGAGTACATGTAGTTCTTCATGAAATTCTTCTCCTCAGGCTATGGACTCATTTGAATGTACCATAATTCGCATTACAATACATTTATAAGCAGTTGATATAATAACATTCCATATTTTTATGTGTACCGTAATTGAATATAATTAACGAAGTGCTAGTTTTTATTCAATTGTTACAATATCTTTTGGAGAACTAGTGAGTTAGTTTAATATATAATAATCAGTTTTTGGCTAAGAATTTATTTTCCGCATGTAACTAAAATAGTAAGAAATTTGACAGGATATTTGTATGAAAAATTGGATTTTCATGTACTATAGTTGGCTTAGTTAAACCAAGTTTCACAATTTTGATGATGATATTTTTCTTATAACTATAAAATATTGATAGTACTATGATTTAAAGCCCTCTACAGCTCATGTTGTTCAAACAAGTGTGTTCAAAATCCCTAAATTCGCCAGCAATTCATACATGTTATGCAAAAAGAATTCTGGTTTAACAGCACCCTGTATCAGTCAGTTTTGTATGAATATATGTACAGCAGTTTAAAGAATTTAGTATGTTGGGCCTAAACAGTAACTAGAACCTTTCTTCATATTGAATTGGATATTATGCATAAAGGGAATTAAATGTAAACTGTTATTTTCATATTGTTTTCATTCAAATTCCATTTACATTCAGCCATATGTGCCTTACTGATGTGGAGTATTTTTTGTATACATTTTATCTCCCGAGAAAAAGAGGGCCATTACCTCATATCCTTTTTCACATAGCTAATGTCCTTTTTCCTCATAACAGACAGCATACAGAAGGCATGGTTTATGATGAATACTTGTATACAGAAACAATTGTTTTTGGATTTTATGTAGGGTTGTGAGGCAGGTTGTACATATTGAGATGTATTTGGATGGAAGCCTTTTGATTGAATTTCTTGTTGATCAATGATTTCAGGATTTGAATAAAAACCATTAAAAGAAAAGAAAAATGTTTGTGTCTTTCTTTACAACACACAGCGGATATACAAGATGATCTTCTCGAAATAGAGATTTTATGATCAGTAAACACTTTCAATAGCTACTTGCGCCCTCTAAATACATGTAGCAAACAATGCCTAATCGGTGCCTGTTGGTACCCCATGATCCCCTTTTTCTTATGTTAACTTAGAGCTGGTTTGATGAGATAATCATAACCACTTGGCCAAACTACCGGTAATGCAGATAGGCTTTATGAGAGAGAGAGAGAGATAGGCAGAGAAAGATTGGAGGGGGCGGGCAGAGAAAGAGGAGGAAATGTGAATGAGAAGAAAGTCCAATCAACAGACTTGGCTGCATTCATGCTTGTCGGATAAAAGAATGAATCTTTCCACTTTAACATACCACTTCACTCGTTGTCCTTGTCCCCCTCCCTTTTCCTTCATATTTCTTCATTCTGTCGCTGCCCTTCTTTCATTCAACTATTTCTTTCTCACACTTTCCGATTTTGTCCTGACCCAATGTTTTTCTTCCCCTTTCACTCTTTCCTTCTATTCTTCTACCTCGCTCTCTCCCCTCCCCCTTCATTCCCTTTCCCACTATCTCTGTCTCTGACCCACCATTTCTTTTGCACATTTTAAACTATATTATATTACAACTACTTTTTATGTAACGTCTAACAACTCTCCCACCTGTTCCTGTATACCAAACAACCAGCGTATTATTGGCATTTTAGTTTTACTGCTAAGATTACAGCCCCCAAGGGAAGTTACTTGAAAGAAAATGTTAATTTACTAATCATTGATCTTTTTGAGTAGAAGAGCTCTCCCGAATGATGCCACATTTAATCAAACAATCAATTTGATGTTACAATGAGACAAAAATTGAGAGATCCCTAAACATTCACAACTTTCTTAATCACTCCAATTCATTCAAACCTAGACCATGCTCTCTCCAATTCCTGCTTCCCTTCCCCACTACTCTGTCCATCTCCCTATCTTACTCTCTCTCTCTTTTTCTTTCTCTCCCTCTCTCTCTCTCTGTCTCTCTCTACGTCTTGATTTGTTTGCTCCATCTTTCTTAGCCATTTCTCCCATTACATACATTTAAAAATTTCCAAGTGTAAGTTTAGTATTCAAATTCAAAAGATCTTTGTTGCACACATGTAATAGACACAGCATATGTCGGTGTAATGTCATACTACAAGATATGAAACAAATACAAAAGGCAGGTAAACAAGGAATTACAGAAGCTGAATGGCTGCATTTATTGACGATTCTCAACAAATCTCTCTGTTCATATATTCTCCAACAGACTGTAAGCGGCATTTGTGGGCAGCGTTAATGGGCAGATGACGGAATCCTGTTATCCATTCATTCCAAACCGAAAGGAACATCTGGTTTATTGGTCATGAGTATTTCCATGATGACGTTTGGCAACTGCGTTGACAGTTGAAGCACCATCATTGGAGACTCAAGGGAAGGGTGGGTTGTGGTATGAAGAGTTCATGTGATCTGATATTGTTGATCACATGACACAAAGTTGGTCAGGTGACCATGATGTTGGTCATGTGTCTCTCTACTTCTTTCCCTGCTTGGCTTTGACCTGTGCTGCTATCCTGTCCAGATCCCTCTGTCCCTGGCTGGTGATGCGACGTCCGCAGTTGCCTTCCTTCTCGATGATCTGGACGCCTTCCAGAGCCTGCAGAACCTTACGGGCTACGGAGGTGGAGCCACTGTGGAAATGGCTGGGGCGCGTTCCACGGCGCATACGTCCTGCACAGGGAAAAATATAATGTCATTAATGATTTTGGAACAGTGGAACAATAGTAGGGAAAAAATATGTCATTAATGATTATGGTACAGTGGTAACATGTTATAAAGAGGTCATTGGGACCAAGAAAATACCTTGTTATAACAGAGGTTCCACTGTATGTACTAAAACAATTTTATGCTGTGAGAGAACCTATAACCAATGTCCTACTCGCCTCATTAGTTTTCATTGAGATATACTGATTACTTTCCGTTCAAAAACCATACAAACACATAATGACTTAATGCATGGAATCTGATTTTATTTTGGATGGCTTGAACAATTCATCCCTCTTCGAATATCCATGGCTGAACCTCACTCTACCACCATGTCAACCCGGTCAGTATATCAGACAACCGCACTCTTTCAGACATTCCTATCACGATATTTGGTATTCGCTTCAATGTTTTATCTGAACACAATGGCTACCTGGCAACATATCATGATGTCTAGCAGAAACACCTATTTACATCATCGGCGATTCATCTACACGACAGATGATCTACAAGGCCCTGAAGGATATGTTCCAGAATAACAATACGAGCTAACGATCAGAATTCTGGGACAAATCGGAGCATCAGACCAGACCTGTACGGTTTATCAACGACTATGGTTAATCAACTGAATTGAAGACCAATTCTACTTTCATGGATTCCCAAATAGGCGGATCTAAATGGTTTGATCGATTAAACATCATGGATGCTACAAGGCGTATCGCCGCAATGATTGTAGTATTTACTTCTAAAAATTGTACAAAATATGATAAAATTGCACTGGTTGGCAGCTCTAGCTCTGAGAAAGCTTTGAAGATTATGACATGAAGGACCTTACCTCCGTAGATCCTGGCGATAGCGTTAACTCCTACACCACCACGGTAGTACAGGTGACGGGCGGTAGAAGCTGAAATGAAACATAACACAGAATGATTATTGAGTGGCATTACAGGCAAAGAGTTCAATCTTTTACTCCTACACCACCACGGTAGTACAGGTGACGGGCGGTAGAAGCTGAAATGAAACATAACACAGAATGATTATTGAGTGGCATTACAGGCAAAGAGTTCAATCTTTTATTCCAACACCACCATGGTAGTACAGGTGAAGAGAAGTAGAAGCTGAAATGAAAAATAAATCTTTATTTGTATCACTTCAGCATGAAAACCACTAAGCTCACATGTGGTTTATATTCGCGATCCCGATTGTAAATGTACGACCGCAATAGCAAATGTGAATATGAATATATATGTTCGAGAAGAAAAACCTTTTCGAGGACTTCACCATTTTGAAAGCAAAATGTACTTCTAATAATGGGATTCTATCAAACGGTATTCTAAAATGAAACAATACTAGTATCCCCAATTGGACAATAAACCATGTAATGAAATTTCAGTGTAAAGAGAGAAATTCTACTAATCTTTCAGACTGGCACAAGTCAATTTTTTAATCCCTCTCTTTCTCTGTGTGTTTCTTCTCTTCACTGTGTACGGCTTAATACCAAATTTGGTGTAGAACCAGTCAGGATCAACAGGGGCCAGTTCATTGTGTGTTCTAGTCTTGACGATATTTCCAAACTCAGGAACAGCCCCCCCCCCCCCCCCTCTCTGTGTGTGTGACTTACCAGCCCTTGTGTAGAACCAGTCGGGATCAACAGGTCCCAGTTCCTTGTGTGTTCCAGTCTTGACGATGTCGACCCAATCAGGAACCTTCATCTTGCCAGACTTCTTGAAGAAGGCGCCAAGCGCCACCACAAACTCCTGCTGGTCAACGTCCTTTACGGTGGTACCTCCGCCTGGCATCTAAACAAACACCAACAATAAGGGAGTTTACAGTTAGCACATGGTACAAATGACCCCAAATATCCACAGATCTTTTACACATGGAGAAGTTCCACTTTGAGCATCTTAGAATAATAACTGCCAAAGTCCTAGATGTGCTTCATGAATACCTTTTGTTTGCCCTCTTGAAAAGAATACTTCCACCTGCGTATCATAGAATGTACCGTTGGTGCATAAATGAATAATGTTGCATAACTTTCACGAGCGCATATCCAGTAGTCATCTCTGTGGGTTTTACTTTTTTGGTACAAATGACCTTCATCTGCCCATGTGCAGCTTGTATATCTATGAACTGGCTTATAGAAGGATACAATCATAAAGTTACACCAACAATTAAAAGTTCACAAGAAGAAGAGAAAAAAAGCTGCTTTGGATCAAGATCCTTTGAGGACATGCATGTACTACCTCAGCCTAGCATCTACACAAACACCAACACAATACGGGGATACGAGTTGCACCAAAAATTAAAATTTTACAACAAGAACAAAAAAATGCTTTGGATTAAAATTGTTTGTGGTCATGCATGTACCTCAGCCTGGAATCTATGAAAAAATGTCAATTATTTGATTGAGATTAAAACATACAGAGGAGGGCCACTTAGGCGGTCATATTGTAAGTCCAGGGGATATTTCACAAAGATCCGAAGTTAAAATTACTTCTAAGTTAGACTTAACAATTATTGAAAGCCGTTAGCATCTATGAAAATATTTTGTACAAGTTATTTTAAAAGTTATAAAATGTTGATTCAAATTAATCATATTTTCTATCATTATGAAAGATTTTATGTTCTTACGTGGAACTTATGAAAAATCTAAAATACTTTAATTTTTGCTTTTTAATATATTTTGTTTCAAGGCTACAAATGGCTCTCCAAAATTCGTAAGTCCAACTTAGATTTAAGTTTGACTTAGAATCTTTGTTAAAAACCTTCACCCCCCCCCCCCCCCAGGGCCCCTCCACTCACCATCCTTCCAAAACAGTTAGTGTGGAGCCTTGCACACTGGCTTACTTTCTCACGAGATTCACAGCAAACTGCTGCGCAATACAATTGCATACCGTATCGACGGTGGGGTGAGCTCGCGCGTGTTTAATTAGCGACTGTAATCTAAGCAATCCATCATTAGGGTGGCTAACTTACCACACACGCGCCCTCACCCCACCATTGGTATGGTATACAATTGTATTGTGCATCAGTTTGCCATGAATCCCGTGAGAAAAACAAAGTGTATATTACAAGTCTTCGTTTTTAGGAAAAATACTCCCCCAAAAAGATAAGAAAATTGGCACGAAACAGGTAAGAAACATAACGACTCAAAATCATGTATTTGAAAAATTGATGAAGATTTAGACAATTTTCGGTATGTTTTAGTAGGGTATCTCACCCCAGAGTTCTGGGGCAAAGTACGGATAGATCTAGACTTCTGCACTAGTGGCCAAAAGTTAGCCCAGTCTTGGTAAAAGTAGCAAGCACTGTACACAGAAAGATGTATATGGGACTACACAAACATGTGGCACATGTGGCAAATTATGAAGGCATTTGAAGAGACATAGAGGTCTAGATCTAGTCTACTTTTCAGGGAACATTTTTTCTCTGACTTTCTTTTCAATGAAAACGCTCATGCAGTCACACATTATTTTTCATCTCTTCCAGAATTCAACCTTCTCTTTCACTTCAGTTTAGAGTCGAATCTAAATTTTCTGAGATCAAGTTAATGCCCTTCTCTTTATCATGGCATACATGAAGCGTTAGGCTATGCTGCTCTGCCAGCTGAACACAGCCAACACTACAGTAACATGGCCACCATTCGGCCATACATGCCTTCATAGACCATACACAATACACGTGCAAATGCCATAGGCCTACACGCCAAGCACACCATTCGTTCAACGGCATTCCGGTCATTTTCGGAACAAATCTACACCGTAATATACATCTTAATCTACACAAGTTGTACTCCCATATATAAAAATAATGTCTACGATGGTTCTTTAACCGACTTATTTCATTTACAAATGGTGAACAATTCTATAAATAACGTATTTTCATTGATTTTTTACATAATTTTCGTTTCATGTACCTTGCTGTCTGTTGAGTTCAACGAAAAAGGCTGTTCATTGGTGAAACAGAGAGGGAGCTAGAGCCGCAACAGAAAAAGCTTGTTGAAAGTATAACTACACAGCCCGGCCCCCCCACTCAGAGGTCGGAATGACCGCATGCGTGTTGCCAAAATGTCCGGTAAAGGGGTACTTTTCGTGCGACAAAGTCCGGCCCGAGATTTGTAAAAAAAGGGGTGTATTTGACTTTTCACCCGGAGATTTCTTTAAAAAGGGGGTATTTTTCTTTTTCTCTCTCATCTCTTTGGACTCCTGAGAAATTATTCCGAATTTAGGGGGGTACATTGAGCATTTTTCCTGATTTAGGGGGGTCTCCAAGGCAGGAAAAGCCCGCAAAAAGCCCGCGAAAGGGGGGTTCGGAAATGTTGGCAGTCCTCAGATAGGGGGTGCTTTCAGAAAGAGGGTACGAGCATATGCGTACCCTAAATAACACTGAGTGGGGGGGGCCGGGCTACACAGTGGCTCATTTGGCATTTTTATCCGGGATTTTTATGGGCCCAACTTAAATTAACTCATTTTAATGTTTATTTTTCAAATAATTTTCTCATCATTATCTTCCTCATTTGTCAATTAGGCTTATTTAGTGTTGTATGATATGCACAACATGTGAATGAAAGAGAAAAATAAAATAAGTCGGTCATCGTTTCATTCGTTTGTGTATCATTATGATTCAGGAAAATAACATCCGCTTGGAAAGGTACATTTTAAAAATAATTTGAAAAAATTAAGGGAAACACACAGAACCTTTATTTCTCAAAAATTTATCTTAAATTCCAGTAGTTCAGTTTGTAAAGTTATTCCTTATTACAATAAGATGCATAATAAGATACATATAGCTCACAGACAAAATCGGATCTTTCCCCTTTTAAAACTCGTACAACTGCAATGATCGCGATTAAATCTTATCGCATGTCCCTTTTTTTTCTTTGAGCAGATAAAATAGTAAAATAAATTGGATAGTAATAATCATTGAGTATGATCCCCGTTTACTAAACGGAGCTTGTATATCCTTTCCGATTTTGCTCGTAGGCCTATTCCTTGTTTTTTTCTTTTATTTCCTGAAGGAAACTTGTTTTAGTAAGGGCGGGTGCCGGGGTCCATACAGGCCGTACTCTTTTCTTGTCTTTAGTTTGTATTCACACTACATGTATTCAATCCCATTAAAAGAAAATTGCAATAGGATTTTATACCAACATTCAAATTAACATGCATGTACAATCTTAATGAACCAGGTTCTGATAGTCATGTTAATAAAAAAAGACCGGGGGGGGGGGCATAGTAGACCACTTTCTCAAGTACCCCCAATGTGCCCCTTTTTACACAGGAAAAGTGCCCCTTTTACTTAGTAAAAATGCCCCTTCCCCTTTTTAACTCTGATGAGTGCCTTTATTATTTTGGCACATGCTCCTTTTCCCGTCGACAAGTTCCTATTTTCCTTTGCAATAGGTGTCCATTATCCATTCTCATAAATGCCCTTTTTAATCTCAAGTAAATGTCCCTTTTCAGAGGCGATAAGTGCCCCTTTTCACCTCTGATAATTTCCTTTAAAAAAAGGACCTACCCCCTTTTCTTAATGCCCCTTTTTACCAAAATGGTCCTATACAATCTGAGTGTCCCTTTTCCGTCGTCAAATGCCCATTTCCCAGTTTCATAAGTGCCCGGTCTTTCATCCAGGTAAGGAGTGCCCTATTTCACTTCTGATAACTACCCTACCGTATGTGCTCCTTTTCTAATAAGTGTCTTATCCCTTTCGATGAGGGTCCCCTTTTCCTCTCATCATTAAACTTGCCCCTTAGGCTAATGCCTAATTTAAAGGGACTTAGAGCAATTTTCTCCCCAAAGTTCGTTCTCTATATAGGCTCGCTCGCATTTATTGATGATATAATTATATTACTTATCAGGTCTTTTTCAGTCTGTCAGTATTATAATGTGCTTATAACTCAATCAGGATTGGGGTTTTCCCCTCTATATACGAATGTAATTCTTCGCACTGAGACCTCACAAATCTAAATGTTTCCTCGCTCGCTTCGCTTACTTGCAAATGAATATCCAGACCATCACATTCAATGTATGATGCTTAACCAATATCTTGTATGATGTATGAAGAGAAACAAATAGAGAAATCAATGAAGGGGTATGTCAATGTCTAAACAAAATTGTATCTTTTCGCTTCGATATTTCTCTTGTAGGTGCCTTTTTTCCTCCAGAAACTGCCCTTTTCATTAATTGGTGCCCCCCCCCAAGGCTCAAAATACACGGGGGCGGTGGGTGATTCGCCCTCGTGAGCTTCATAATCGCCTCCGTCAGATTGCTCACGGGGGCGATTGCAAAGGATATTTTTTTTTCATCTCATAGATGTAGGCATACACATGTTTAATCAAGGTGGGGGGCTGAGTTACTTTAAAGCCCCTGTAAAGTGCTGGGGGGGGGGGGGAATCGCAAAAAAAAAGATAACAACTTTTCCCTTTTTGATCTTGTAAAATGCGTATATATTATTCTAAACAGAACATTACAAATTTAAAAATATTGCAAATAAATCGATAGATTTTACATGGAATTATTTTCGATTTTCTTTAACATATTTTGATTGGGTGACATCAAATTGAAATGAATTAATGCTTGAACAAAATGTTTTTTAATTAATGAAATATAATTCCATCTCGAACTATATTGCTCCTGCCCGGTCGTACAAGAATATAACAATTCAAATCTATTGAAAAAAATATACATATATTTATAGTTTTCACATTGGACATACCAATGTTCTTATTTTTAAATCAATTTCTAATGGATGACATCAGAATGAAATAAATAAACACTTGAAGAAAACAAATGTTGCTGAGTGAATATGGTTGCACCATGGTAGGTCCGTGGTTGCACTACTGGTGGTATAGTTGGGATTAGGACCAATTTGTGGTACATCAGCGCCTTTCGACGAAATTCACCTGCTGCTCCGACACAGGTGATTATGACGTCACGACTCGTCGAAAACTTAGTGGGGGATAATACTTTTACAAAATGTTTGCTTATGATTATTCATATAATTCAAGTAATTTTTAAAGCATACGACGTACTATATTTTGTATGTTTATACATATTTAATGTTATTGAATATTTTTTGATACAAATCTTCTTTAAAGAAACATAAACATTGACAACTACACCCCTATAACATAGTGAAAAGGTCAAGACTCCGCCCTAAATTAATTAAACATGAGGATTTGATGCATTATGCATGAGTACTATGACGTATGTCAATCAGTGCATAGCCTTGTTGTATAGCGGCCCCGCCGCCATAATCTAACTTGGTCGCTTTTGATGCCTGACTGACACATAGTAGGTATGTCACTCAAAATTTCTTTCTTATCCTGTCACTTTTAATTCACGCGCATTTACTCGTCGAAATCAAGCTAATACACCTCTAGAATTCATCCTAACCCTCGCCAATTTTTAGCTGTAGTCCTAACATTTAATTTTTCGTTGAAATCGGGACGAATTTCAGGCGCAGTTTTCGAGATTTCTTTGTTGTGAGTGCGAATAGCAATATTGAGCGTGTGTGAGTGGCAGCCGTATATAACGCCCGTTTTTGTATTGGGGAGTGTTCTGATGTGTGGAAAGGCAGAGTTGCTGTATGATTTATTCGTTTATCACCATGCACGGAGCGTTCGTACCGATCCACCGATCGAATGCCTTGCATGTTGTGTGGCCGTAGCTGAGCTGTGTGTGCATGCATGTGTGAGCGACTTGAGAGATGCGGTGTCGCGAAGGACCACCGAGATTTGGTGTAATTTCCTTCAAAATACCAGTTTTACGTTAGCCACGGAATCGTATCTAGCATGTATCGACATGGGATGGTACTGATGTAGGTTTAATTACGACATGTTCAATGTTGGACGTTTGGGAAAATTCAACATGATTTACTGCTTGTGGCATTGTGCATATGTTTCAGATCACATCATTCACAGGCAGCATACACATAATGATAATGTTGTGTGATGAGTGAATGCATGTTGTCTTCATAAAATTAATATGTCTTGTGCAAGAAGTAAATCATTAATATCATTCACACAAATCCATGGTGTAGGCCGTCATTTCCACAGTGCATAGATCTAGAGTGTACAACTTCAGATGACATCATTTCATTTATTTTATTTGCTGGTTAGGGCATGCATCAATGTTGTCTCATTAAACTACATAAAATTTTGTTTCAATATCACTTATAAATTAACAATCAATATCGTGATTTTTCTCAAAGAAAGTAATAGATTAAAGCATACAATTGTATAAATACATATCTACTTTCGGGGGCGAATCCAGGGGGTCAATTGTGGGAGGCACAGGCCCCCCCCCCCTTCCAATAAAAAACAATAGAAGGAAAAAAGCTAAGAAATATTCACATAAATGTTCAGTTTACGCATTCAGAATTTCAGAAATGCCTCGGAAGATACCATAGAGCATCTAGAGTGACCTACATGTAGGTTGAGTTTATCAACCGAGAAGGATACGGCGTAACGTAACTCGCTGGGCTCATTATAAAGAAGGCACCGTAGAAAGGACAGGGCCAGCATGAGTTGGAACTGTGTGCAGCTCGTAGTTTAATTTGAAATATTATTCCTGTTTTGTTACATAACACTGGGTTAATAGACTTAATATTATATTAAAATGAGATTGGGGAAAGAGATTGGATGAAATTGGCATCAATAGTCAAACTTGACTAATAGCCATTATAATACCAAACGAAGAAGCTAGAAGAAGTTTTTCTGGGGCACAACGGTCAAAAGCGTACCCCATGCCGTAAAGGCTCCTCATTTAATCCTGGATCCACCACTGTCGACACAAACAACAATAAAATATAAAATTGAGAAAAGAGAGAAAAAGTTTGGGTCATATCATCATTAACAAGGCTACAACGTCACATTATATATGATGCAATACGTGATACAAAATGACCAATGTTGTTAAAGGTAAAGACCAGTTTTGGAAATGCCCCCCTCTCAAAAAATGAAATGGAAGCTCTTATTACCAATCATGTGAAAGAATACGTTTTGAGTTG